AACTAGAAATCTGTGACTGAAAAATTTATTATGGGATTAATTTCACAAGAAAGAGCGAATATATTACGTAATTAAATGGGACATTTTTATAACTACGAAGTTTAAGTTAGTTAGTTTGTGTATTATATTTATTGTGTGTATTTTAATATATAGTAAAATACACGAATCAACTAACTTAAGCTACGCAGTTTTAAAAAAGTCCAATTTAAATAGAGTAATATATTCGCTTTTTCTCGTGAAGTTAATCCCATAATAATTTTTTCATTTACAGATTTTTAGCACCTTTCTAAAACTTCTTGTTAATAAATTAAATTTGACAAGGATTTTTCCAAACGCATCCAATCCTTCCAGTCCAAAGTCCTTTGAACAATAGTCGATGCTCCTTTCTATGTAACCAACAAAACCCTACACCATGACTTTAATATCCCATTTGTCCTAGACCTTATCCCAGCAAAATACTCTTATTTATTCTTCCAATACAGACAGAATGGTCCTGTTAGTTAAACTTGAATATTTGTAATTATACATGTTTAAGGGAATAATGTTTTAGGATGGTTTCAGTTGAGGAAAAGAAAACTATAGGCAAGTTGTTCATAGGAAAGTTGTACTCAGGATGATAGTCATTAATCACTCAGCAACTGTCACGGTAGCATCCCACTTCACACCTTTTTTGATATGAAAGTTGTTATGAACAACTGAAAATATTTTGTTACAATATTATATTTATACTATAAGCTGCATCAAGTGTTGGCAGAAGGTTCCGTTTTTTTTTTTTTTTTTTTTTTTTTTTTTTTTATAGGATGTAACTAAGATGCAAAATCCAAATTTTAGACGTCGATAGCTCTCCCTGTCTCCCGAATTACATTTGAATATTCCAAAAACTGCTAATCTTCGCATTTTATCCGTTTTTCTCCATTTTGACCATGAAAGTGCATGTTTTTGAAAAAAACATTTTTAAACTAGATTAAATTTATTAGAATTTGAAACCAGAATAGCGTCGGTAAACCGAATGGGTTTCAAAATAAAGCTTTTCCAAACTTGAAATGTTTATGTTTTATTATATATATATATATATATCATTATTTACCTCCAGATCGGCTTAATACATCATCTTCCGTACCCAAAGCACAGACTGAGCCTAACTAATGTAGGACTCTCTTAAAATCACGAAAGTGAAATTAGATGAATTATCATAATCTAAAAAATAAATAGCTTCAATAGGATTGTCATTTTATCTCCTTATTATGTTTTATCTCTGTTTTCGTATAGTTATCATTATTTTATAATGTAAACATGAATGTCGCGAGATAAAGGAGAAATCAGAAAAAAAAGGAAATCTTACCTTGCTACATAATTACTCATATTTCAAAATCGAAAATAAAATCGAGAGCTTTTTAAAATATACCATTTTCAACTAAAAATACTGTGGGGTATGCTTAAATAAATGTTAAAAGTGGTTAAATAAATTTGATAACATTTATACTCGTTCATTAGCTCATTTGTCTCGAACTTTCCTCCAGTTTTGATCCTAATCGAATAAGCTACTACTTAATTCAATTATAAAAAAAAATCATTATGAAGGTTTTAAAAAAATTTCATGGGGGACAAACATACTTTTGTTCAAAGAGAATACAAAAAGACCCTGAGAAAAAAAAAATCCCTTTGCAGCTTATCCCTGCTTTAAGTTCCTTCGCTCACACAGAAACTTTTTACGTCTTATAAAGTGCCCTTTCTCCCTAGAGCTTTCTGAATAGTCTTCGATAGAATAGTAATCAAAAGCTTTTTCACTATCAATAAAACAACCATGCACTTCCATCCCATAGAAGAGGAGGTTCTCAAATGGTCCCCTAAAAGTTAAAACAGGAAACAGTGCGTTATTCCAAGTGTGAATTAAACTGACGAATTGCATTGCCGAACCGGCCTCCACAAACATGTTTCATGAGCCTTTCATAAATTGTTCATGTACTTGATAATAGTTTTAGATTTCTTCGGGAATTAATGAATATAATTATTACTTATTTTACTCTTTAATAAGATTTTTATTACTTCTTTGTTTTGACCTTTTGGGATCAAAATTGCTCCATCATCAATTCAGTTTATTATACTAACGAAGAGATTACGGACGTGAGGTCTCCGTATTCAATGAAACTTTGTTTGGTGATACTAGGTCAAAAAATATTAGACCGATGTCTGAGGGTTCTTGCTAATGCAACCTAGGATCCGAGAAAAAACAATTATGAAGTTTTGTAATTGTTTATATAATTGTTTTTTACTTTACTCTGCATCACGGGCGGATCTACGGGGGGGGGGAGGGGAGGGGAGTGGCTTTCGAGCTGAAGCCCTTCCCAAAATGGTAAAATATAACCATGTTTTATCGAAAAAAATATTTAAAAAGAATCTCTTAAAGTATTATTGTTCGTGTAATTACATTTAAAAGGACTTTAAGAATCACTTAAACACCATTTCATATAGGTAGTTAGTTTCTTTCTTTTTTTCCAAAGTAATTATCGCTATTTTTATGAAAAAAAAAAGCTTTCGGGCTGAAGCTCCCCCCAAAATTAAATCCTGGATCCACTAGTGCTCTGCATGGATTTCTAAGTTATATATCAATCGATTCGTTTTTTTTTTGTTTTTTTTTTTGTGTCTAAAATAAGAAAAACATATTATATTAACTGATACATAAACATATTAAATAATATGTAATATATATATATATATATATATATATATATATATATATATATATATATATATATATAAACATATTAAAAACTGATTATATTAAACGAATTCTAATGTATAATAAATCACCAATACCCAAAGACGCTTCCAGTAAAGTAGTCCAACTTAATTTTTATCATAAAAAAAAGATTCAGATTCTTTTTTAGCGCTCATTTAAACTCATAAATACATTTTTTTTTTAAATAAAAAATAAAAATTTTTGGACTTGATTTTTCGTCATGCCGTTTACTCAAATATTTATAACTTCTTAGGATTTTCTCCTAAATCAAGATTAATACAACCATTGGAAAGTTAAATTATTTCAATTCAAATCCATACCAATAGCTTTAAATTTTCGCCTTTATAATAAAGAAAAACTGCCCAAACTTTTCTATTTCTAGTCTCCAAGCCTAATTTATTTGTAGACGTCTAGTTTGTACTATAATGTGTATACTACAGAGCCCTAAATTCAGGCTACGATTTGTGTATATAAATGAAGCCACGTCTAAGTTATCACATTTTTTGTGATTTGCGAAGAAAAAATCGAAGGTTCCAGCTAGTCAGAAATTTTGTAAAAATTATTTTTATTTTTCGATTATTACAAAATTTCTTAATATTGCAGTATGCCAAATATATATATGTATATGAATATTATACCGAACGGGCATCAAAGGTTTAATGCCACAAGTTGCGCCATCAAAATTTTTGAGGGAGGCACATTTTGACAGGGTTTTGAATTTTTGAGGGGGGCACATTTCGACTAGGTTATGAATTTTCGGAATAAAAAGTTTCAAACCATAGGACAGGAGGAAAGCATAGAAAAGACCACTGAAAGTGTAATTGTATATGAACTATGATTTTTTTAAATGCTACTTTAACTTGCAATGTTTATAAGAAGAGGAGAGCAATAAAATATCTTAGGAGGAGAGAGGAGGGTTCATGCGCCATCGACCTTGGGAGGGATGGGCTTCTTTGACGGGTCGAAATTGGGATCTGCTTAATTAACTTTAACTTTGGAGAGTTATCATTGAGTGATGTTTACTATATTTTTCATCGTACACCACATTTGCTGATCGTAATTCATTTTTTTCATAAGTTGGTAACAAACTAAAATACAAAATAAATGATGTTCATGCAGAAAATTAGAGTGTATTAAATTAACTTACACATATCTTAGTAATTTCTCTGAACATAATTCTACGTTCAATCACTAATCTAATAATCAATCTCGTTTTAATCCATTAATTAAATATCACACACAATTATTCACTATTCTTAGTTCCGTGTACACAAAACCAGTTAAAGAACTTGACACTGAACGGTTAAAGTACAACTTAACACTTACAGTTTCAGAAATACAAAAACCGATAACTCACTAGCAATATAGATTTCCATTGATCAACGCCGACTAATTACACTGCGTTTTGACAAATTACTTAAACTCCAGAGTTGCCAACTCTCAAAACCCCCTAATGACAGTATATTAATTTATCAAGAAGGCGTTTAACAGTGAAGGTTTTGGCTTGCTAGAGGCTTGCTTTGAGGAAGCAGTATTTATTGCTAGAAATAAGGACTAAATTCTCTGGTCCAGATTATCCTGGCCGACTCATATGAAATGTTGATATATTACATTACGATGTCTTCTACCTTATGCAGATAATAGAAAAAATAAATACATTTTTTGTATTCCCTTTGTTATCAGCCAACAGGATATGGGGATACACTCAAAATGATATGTTATAGGCAGTTACAAGAAAATGTGAAATTTACAGAATACTTGTAATTAATCTGATAAAATCTAAAACGCCTTCAGAACATTTGAGAGAAATTGTCTTCCACAATTCGTTTTAGATATTACCTATTTCACATTTTTTAATTAAAAATATCTTTGGAATTTTGTCTCCAGTCATGAGAGGGTTAATGGATCTTACCCTTAAATAAAATGACTGAAATCAGATTCCATATTCCATATCCATTCTCATACTTATCGTCCGACCCTGGGGTATGAACATCAAAATTTGTTTTCATTAACAGTTCTAAATAAAAATAATACTTCCTATACTGGTTTGTACATAAACCAAATTATCGGATACTTAATCCAATAATAAATGATCGTGATCGTGAGGATTGAAGTCAACTGTTTCATATTTTTTATTCGTGTAACTTTATACTTATAACGAGGACATCATAAATAGAAGTTAGATTATTCTTTTTTAAATGTTATTAGAAGACATTTGACTTGGTAACACTGATCTGTTGTAGCATGTGGTTGAAAGAAGGAGGTTTCAAACAACTTGCTTGTGATGTTTAACCTAAGTTAATTTAAATATAAGTTCAATTATTACTATTATTGTATATAGTTACCAATTGCTTTAATTTATTGTGTGGAAATATGATTTCCAATTGTGAAAAACAATTTGTTTTACAGTCAATTAGAAATGGAAAAGTATACAATTGCCATATTTTAATTTTATACTACTATTAATGAGTTTAATAACATTTTTAACTGAGACTTATCTTTTAGCGACTTGATGGAAGAGAATTTGATGAATTTAGAGAGCTAGAACTACGCTTTGGATCTGATTATGGTTGTTGTTATGCTACACTCGGCGAGACTAAGTACCTAAATATTTAATTTTCTTCTAGAAACACTACATATTATTATTTATCTTATTATAGTGTAAAATCATTTGAAGGATCACTCAGATGGGTTAAAACATTAATTAAATTCTTACTTTGACTAATTCTAATGATATTAGATAAGAGATAAGTGAATAAAAACTAGGACTTGCTAATTTTAATCTATTTTCAAGAACTTTCTATGCTCAGTTGTAACTAAAATTTTCTTAATCACTGAGTACTTACCTCGAAATTTGTTGATTAAAGAACAATAACCGCTTTTAAAGGCTTCTCCTATCTACACCCCTTTATTGAATGATTTTAGTCAGTCAACAATAGTTAAATGAAAACTGCTGTGAGAAACATTTTTTTAGTAAATCATCAGGACACAAGTTAATTTTGTTGTTGATCAAGTGGTAAGTCAAAGGCAATTTACTTTTTTCAAATTGGAACTTAACTTGAAATATGTGAACCTCAGTTGTCCTTCGACTTCTCTTTCAGATAGTGATGTTATGTTCTATTGAACTATCTTGTGTGAACAAAAACTATTTTAAGTTTATTTCAACTTTCGGTGTTCAATTAAAATCATTTTTAAGCTCAACTTATTACTTTTTGTCTTTAATAATAATTTTTTCTATAACAGCTTAATTTCAACTGTTAAATTTCGTTTTATATTCATTTCTTCTTTTGAAATCTTATTTGACAAAATTTCAAAATTATGCTTGACAGGACGTGTAGGACTGTGAAATGAATGGAAGCAAGTAACTAAAACTGGTAATTACTTTAAAAACATCACAACTAGGCTTTAGTATCATATCATTAGTGCTTACTTTAAGTTTCTGGGTTCTAGATAACAGACTAATTGTTACTATGTAATGTAGGTAGTAATGTAATGTACATAGTAATGTTACTATGTAGTTGACAGGTTTTGTCCAAGATTCCACTTGTCCACTCGTTCATTCAAGCATTTTTGGAAGGTACTTATACTGTCTAATTGAAACTATCAGTTTTTATTCACCATTAATAAAACTGATATAGATTGTTATTACCTCATTTGACTTTTCTTTATTTTTGTATTGATACTTATTTTTCTCTAAGTCGTTGCTATAGTATGAAGTTAAATATTCAAATATTAAAGAATAGAATTCAAATAGAAACTCTGATTTAATGTAATAAATAAATAATCTAGTAAAAATAGGTTTCTCTATTTATCTAACTTTATTTTTATCTTTTGCAGAGTCGTTGCTCAGGTTTCTTGCAGTCTTACTGAACCTCGCCCAATGAGGCCAACAGAAGGCTGCCTATTCATCAATGTAGAAATAAGTGAAGCTGTTTGTCCAAGCTATGACACAGGCCATCAGCCTCATTTGGCTACGCATGCCAATAGATTGTTGGAGAAATGTATCAAGGAATCTAATTGTTTAGACCTTGAAGCTCTTTGCCTCACAGCAGCGGAACAGGTAGTAACAGTATTTTAATTTTTTCTGTATCGCTGATTTCTTAATTTTACAATTTACAATTTAAAATGCTTGAATTTTATCTAATACTTTAAGTTGAAATGATAAAATTTTTATTTCCGCTATAATTTTTACAGGTTTTTGATATTAGAGTTGATGTTACTGTTCTTAATTATGATGGAAACTTGTTAACTTGTTGTTCTGTTGCAACGTTAGCTGCTCTTGCACATTTCAAGACACCAGCTGTTACAGTAGAAGACTCAGAGATAATTATTCATCCTATCAGAGAAAAGGCTCCTGTGCCTTTGAGTCTTCACCATTTTCCAATTCTTGTATCCTTTGCTGTATTTTGCGATGGGTAAGAAGTCAACATCTTGTTTTTACAAAATATATTGGCTATAAACTCTTATTTTTATTTATTTTTTTTATCATTTCTTAGAGAGCATACAGTGGTTGATCCAACAGAAATAGAAGAGAAAGTCAGTGAAGGTGAATTAGTCGTAGGAATGAACAATTACCGTGAGCTCTGTGGACTGCATTTCAGTGGTCGCGCTATTGGAAATAAAGACCTTATCCTTTCCTGTTCAAGTAGAGCTGCATTAATTGCTTCGGATTGTGTTAAAAGGATGAAAGAAGTATTAGAAATAGACCAGAAGACTAGAGATAAAAACCGTGGTGAATCTGATGGCCTCACTGAGTGTATTCATTTAGATCGTTTGCTGTCGGCATCCAGAGATAGGCAAGCCCTTAGATTACAACCTGAACAAGTGGAAAAAGTTCTTTCACGAGCCAAAATCAACCAACATATGGAAATAGATGGTAATGTTTTATTTTATGATTTTACTTCATTTATTTTTTAAATGATGTTTGTGTATTATAAATTCTGGTTATGAGGGTCGTTAAGAAGTTATAACACTTCATTGTGTTAGCAGCATTGTAATAACAGCATTTTCTTGTTAATATTGGTGATGATTACGTCTGTGAATGAGAAATCATTATTTCTATCAATGATGAATTGTGGCTCAAAACTTAAGCATTGCTTGTAACCAGAATTTGAAACAGAAAAAGGCTTTTATCTTTAAAAAGTTTTGGTATCAAGGAATTTTTATTGTCTGTAGTTTTTCAATTCTTTTGGAATTAGAACTTTTTACCTTGCAACTTTTCATGTAAAGGCTTTACAGGACCTTTATTTTAAAAAAAATTTATTTAAAAGTTCTGCCAATTTCGCTAAAAAGATGATATAAAAACTGACTTCTATTCATAGCTGTTCTAACAAACGACACATTAGAATCACGTGTAATTCATTTAAGACAAATTATAACTTTAATCTAAGCAGAATTACTATTTATTTTTCATTTAATGCTACTTTTTTTAAGAACTTGAATAAATTGACACATATTAAACGTTTACCTTAAACTTGGAACTTTAAAGGTTCATCAGGACTTTTATTTTAAGAGTTTTTTCCTAAAAGATTTCATATAAACTATTAAAATGGAAATTTTTAAAAAGTTTCAAGTCCCTGATGAAACAAATAATATATTTTCATTATTGTAGTTAATCATGTGAATATTTTTTACTGTTTATAATTATTTAAATACGATTTTCTTAATTTTTTTTTTGTCTTACAATTTATATTAACAATTCATGCATTTTAAATATTTCAATGTTTGTTGTATGGAATAAAGTAAAATAATAAAGTATAAAATGTAATTAGTAATGAATTATTTGTCAGTGTCTTTTTTAGTCTTACTGTATTGTCGATTGTTTACTTCTAAATCCTTTTAAATCTATAAAAACAAATTTTATACAATGAAACAAAAATCAAATTTATATTTGAGAAAAATACTGTTTTAAATTATTTTTTGCTGATGGTATTTTCAAAAACAATTTCTGACATTTTTGAAATCATGGCTACTCATTGGAAGTATCATGGTCATTGCGATAGCAATAGATATTTACAAGACTTAAGATTTTTTTAAATTGAATTAGCAAACTTTTAGAAGTAAGCCATTGAGAGTTTTATAAATATTACATACTGTTTTAAAAATTGTACATTTTTAATAAACAATTTATTTATTTATTTGTATTTCTTATTTAGTCCCAGAGGAGGAAACAAGTGAAGTAGAAGAAGAGGAGAATGAAAAAATGTTCACTAAAATTGACAAGGAAGGAGGAGTAACTATCAGTGCAATGGGAGCATCTGATTTTGTAAGTTTTTTTTTTCCTGATTTTGATTCATCATTGATGTGTGTGTTTTCTGCCTGAATAGTTCAGCTTCTCAATATTTGAGAGAGGAAGACTTTCGAGACTTCTAATCAGTGGTAGCTCAGAAGGGCAAGTTACGCCACCAAAATATTTGAGGGGTCACATTTTGATACAGTTATGAATTTCGGAATGAAAAGTTTTAAACCAACGGACAAGTGCGAAAAATGGAATATTCCGCATCAAGTGTAATTGTATATGATTAAGGTTTTTTAAAATTCTACTTTCCCTTGCATTGTCTTTAAGAAGAGAAGAAGAAAAAATATCTTGAGAGGAGCAGATGGGAAGTTCATGCGCCGTTGACCCTAGGAGGAGAAATGAGTACCCCTGTTTCTAATGCATACACGTCCGCTTATTTCATATTATAGAGTTCATTTATTCAAACCTCAATTTTTTTCTATTTTTCCTTGAGAGAATCACATTCAGTAAAAAAAAAAAATAAATAAAATTATATAGAAATAAATTTCAAATGAAATTTTTCTCTATTTCTAGTCTCTGGAAAAAATTACTTAAGAATATGGTATGACAGAATGAGTTTGTTTAATCCTCTTCATATAACCAAGTCTCTATTTCTCAAATAGTAACATTTGCCTGTATAAATCAGAATAAACAAATGCTTAACTCAAATGCTTAAAATAATTTTTGCATTAAATGATATATAACACTAGGAGAATTATCATTCACTTGAAATTTACTATATTTATAATATTACCATGCTTGTTAATTAGAACTTTTATTTTCACTTCAGGGAAAGGAATGGGTTCCAAGTGGAGGCAAAAGCACCTGGGAATCTACAGGGCTTTCCAATGAAGAAGAAAGCTCTGATGAAGATGATGTTAATTATGTAAAAACTATTACGGATGAAGACAGGATAATTGACAAAATAGGTGAGATTGAACACTGTTTGATTCTTTTATCCATTCCATTATCTTCTTTCGTTTTCGTTCTGAAAACTATTGGAAACATTTATTATTACCAACTTTTTAAACAATTCTGGAATAAAAACCAATGTTTAAAAAGTACACAACCCTTTCTTTGTCTGCCTCTTGAACTTGCAAAAGTTTGTGCACATTTGTACCCCTGATTTTTTTAATATTTTCTAAAAGTGTGTTATTTTAAAATATATAGATCTATTGTTCAGGTTTAAGAAAAATATTAACCCAGCAAACATAGGTGATATTTATTGGTTGTACAGACCATTATATGCATCATTGGTGCAACTCACTAGTGGATCCAGGATTTATTTTTGGGGGGACTTCAGCCCGAAAGTTTTTTTTTCATAAAAACAACGATAATTATTTTGCAAAAAAAAAAAAAAAAAACTAACTACCTATATGAAATTGTGTTTAAATTATTCCTAAACCCCTTTTAAATGTAATTACATGAACAATAATACTTTCAGAGATAATTTTTTAATATTTTTTCGATAAAACATGGTTATATTTTCCCATTTTGGGAGGGGGAGGGCTTCAGCCCGAAAGCCCCCCTCTCCCCGTAGATCCGCCCGTAGTGCAACTCAAAGATTGAAGCTTTGAAATATTTTACTCCCACATTGCTATGTCAGTTGGTCTAAATTTTCCACATATTGCAGCTATCTGCTGAATATAATATTTATTCAAAACTAGTCTGGTTTCAAGCGTAAATATTTTTTTAGGGAGAAACAAAGATGAAATTCTTTTTTTGCACATCAAAAAATGCTTAAACACGAATTTTTACAGCAATCAAAAAATTAAAATTTTCTGCACAAAACTTTTGACCATGCTTTAGACCCTTCGAAATTTTGTCAACAACCATATAAATTGTGATTTATGTAATTTATGGTAGATTATAACTCATTTAATACAATTGTCAATATTTTTTTCTTATTACAAAAAAGAAACTGATTGATTTATAATACCCTAAACATCTGGACTAAGTAAAGGCAAAAATAAATAACATAAATTTTGTTCGAAATTTCATAAAATACTTTTTTTCTCGGCTACTAGCTCCCATTGGAACAAATGCTGGTAGATGTGTCCAATATATTTCAATGTAGTTCCTTCTTGTCAGTATTATACGTGTGTTTGTACATAAATTAAATAAAAGCATTAATATATTGATTATTAATAATTCTATTGACTCATGTTTATTGCGTTCCTATTTCAATATGTAATATTTGTAAGGAATATACCATAGGAGGAGAATTTACGGCTTCTGATAACATCTATGCGGCCTGTATGAGTTTTGTCAGCATTCCTCAGTCTGACACAATACAAATTCTAACACATATTACTCATCTTAGTTTAGTGTTGGAGTATTGGATAGCGTCCGAGATTCATTTTATCGCATCATATATATCATCAAGGTCCTCTGTTCACGACCAGATTCCTTTTTATGTTTTTAGAGGCTGGGTGGCCAAGTGGGCTAACTCTTGTGCACAGTACCATGTGTTCCCCAGCAACCTGATACCTAAAGTTATAGAAGATAAAAAAAGTAAGAGTTCGCGACCTGGTGTCGGCGGGGAGAAGGGGTGATGAGCTTTTAACTCTGGCATTTATCTCTGGTCCAGGAAAACCTGGTTTAGAAAAATAGTCTAAAAGGCAAGGAAGGGGAGAACAAACAAAAAATGTTACTCATCTGAGACCAAAAATTAAATTAATCTTTTAACTTAAGTAAAAAAAAATTAATAAACTGAACTCCTAACTTAGTTAGCTATATTTGTGTTTAAATGTGGCATTTTTACACAAACACATAAATAATCAGAATAACGAAACAAGTAATAAAATAGACAGTATTTAGATTTTTCCTGAACGAAATTCTTTGACCACAGTTTTCAAATATTTTTTCCTTCTGCCAGTTCTTCAAATGTTTCCAGAATCATCATTTTAAGTATTTATCATTGAAAATTTGCTACTTAATCTCACAGCTTAGATGTGTCTGGCTGAAGGTTAATTAAACTAACTTTTGTTTTATTACAACCTAAGAAATAAGATATTTACAATAATTGATCACTTTTAATGCTTTTATATTGGTTGATTTTTAAAACATTTTTGTGTTTCAGAATTGAGTGGAGAAAGTGAAGAAGAAGAAACGGTTATCCTTAAATGAGCAGATTTTATCTGTTAGTCATTCACTGAGTAATGAGAACATTGGTTGTGAAATTTACACAGCTATATTGTTACTGGAAACTATATGTTTTAAAACCTAATTACATGTTGAATTTTATATTTTATTGTACTTGTACAAATTAAATTTAAATATTTTCATAAACAAATTATATTTGTCTTGGTATTGATAGTGGGACATGTTTAGCAAACGGCTATTTGTTCCTTTTGTCAACCTCTAGTAGCCATCCAAAGAGTAGTACTACTTTTTAAACTAGATTTGGAGTCACAAAATATATGTCATAGGAATGGGCAAAAAAACAAAATAAAATTATTGTTATTAAAATAAGGCAATGTGAAAAAGAAAAGCCTCAGTTTTCATAACAATTTCAGTCAGTTTTGTATTTAAAAGTAATCTTAATTAAGTATGTAATATATTTGTAAAATTACTCTAAAAGCTGGTTTAAAAAGTCAAGTTTCTTCCTTTTTTTATTGCAGTCAAGAAATTTAGGTTTCAACCATCAAAGGAGATCAGTGTGGACCTTATAGACTCTTTCGCACAAGTATACTAAAGTTTTGTACAAATAAAAACATACAAAATCATTTATAACTTTATACTAGAACAAACAACTTTATATTTAATTCAAACTTCTTTTTTTTTTTGTAAGTTACTAATTTTCATTTTAAAATTTAAATTATTATTTGGTCTTTCATAGGTTATTGATTTACATATTTCTTTGCTAGGTGAGGCAGGAAAGTAACCTCATTTTGCTAGTTTATTTATGAAATCATTGTGGTTTGTTAAAATTCAATTAATTTAAAAACTTGTTCTTGGGTTCAGTCCAACACTTTGATATATTTAACCCAACACCCAATCAAATCTATTAATATATTCCTTTTATGAGATTAGTATCAGGCTATATAGCCCTGATGTAGGTCTGAACTTTGGGCCGAAAAGTCGGCAAAAATAAATATTTATTTATTTTTACTTTGTATTTTAAATGATCAACCCAACCAACTTCTCTTCTATTAAATCTGTTAATAGTTTGTCTGTAATAATATAACTCAAATTCTGAATGATTTGAATTTTTTTTTTTTTTTTTAAATACTACAAGATAGTTTTATTGTTGGAGATTAAATATCTATAAATATTATTCGTTTTTAAAAATAAATTTAGAGTGTCTGTTCAAAAAGTCAAGTTAAGTCAATGAGTTAACTTGGATGAGCTCTCGCCCAGTGTTGGAAGTGGTTTGGATCTGAGTTACGCAGGTGGACTTTTATTTTGCTGTGGACTCACATAAATAATCTGGACATTTACACAGAGGCTGGAATAGGTTGGTAGCCTTGTAGGTAAGATAGTCTGATCAGCCTGCCCTGATCAGATTATTAACATCTGCCTATAAGTCCGTGAATGTCTTCATCTTATCATAACTTACAAATTTTTTATCTATGATAACTATCGAGAACGGAGTTTTCTCACTAATTTAATAGCATTTTCTTATTAAATGAATTAACTGAATGAAGTTCTAAAAACTAATAAATATCCATTTGCTTTCCATTTGAATCATATGATAATTTGATCATAAAATCGAAAAAAAAGGTGGCATACCAAAATAGTGAGTATTTATAACCTCGTTACATTGACATGTTGGGGGTGGAGGTCATACCAATATGTTTGAAGGCACCTTTTTTCCTCAACTTTGTGATGAAATTATTGAATGATCCAAGTGGAAAGTAAATGGGTATTTAAGAGTTTTTAGTACCTAATTAATTAGACCAAGTTTGCCGATCTCCAGATTGAAAACGCTCCAATATATGTAGGTTACAATGAGATGAAGCTATTTAGGAAGTTTCAGGCGGCTGTTAGTAATTTGATAAAAAGAGGTGTCTATAACAGGAATTGCTATATTTGTTAGCAAAAGTAATGATGTTTAACACAAGTGAATTATTATTTTTATTACTCCAAATTATTATATCATTAATAGTAACAACACTTCAATTTTTATGAATAAAAAAGTTTTTATTGTAGCTGATATGCACTTTTCCATTTTTTTAAAAACAAATTAACCTAAAATAAATAATTTTTTCTGAAAATTTAATATCATAAACTAATTGACTTGGTATTATAAATTAAAACTAAAAACATCGTCGTGTGTAGTTTGTCACCATTTGAGTCATAAGTGGAGCTCATTAATATCAAACTGAAACAATAAAATAAAATATTAGAACAATAAATATAATATTTATTAACAAGAATATTACATTTGTACTTGTTTTAGTACTGTATTTGTTAAGCAGTTTAGTTCTAATTCAAATAGTGCATATTGTTCATTTTATTTTATTTGTTCTGTTGCTGATATCACATGTATCATAAATTGCAGTCTTCATGTTCTTTAAGTAACAAAAGTGTTTTTGTAACATTATGGATTTCTGCAATATGAAGGTCGACTCGTATGTTGGCAGGGACACTTTTCATGAGGATACTGTCTGATTTAAGATTGTGCGATTCCATTCTTATGTTATTGCGGGTGCTTTTTATGAAAATACTGTCAGATTTAAGATTGTGCATCCAGTTTATTTAACTTTTTGAATTTCTTCTATATAAGGATCACTATTATGTTGGGTCCGCTTTTTATGAAATTGCTAATACCAACGGATTTAAGATTGCCCATCGAGTTTGTGTAAGTTGATTAAAATGTCGTATTTGAGATTGCGTGCAATGAGTGGATAAAATCAAAAAAGTTAAAAAAAAGTCTAAGTGGACCCTAAAATATACTGTTTATTTCCGAGGAAGGAATGAATGCGGTGGAGATTACAACTGAAAAAGAATATCTGAAAATCCGATGATAATGAATGATGGAAATTATGAATAAGAAAAACATAAATCATGAAATAGGATTCAGTGATATAATTAAAAATTTATATCTATTACTACTTTTTTATAAGTTGAATTAGGGTTACCTGATGTAACCTAAATGTTGAATATAAGTCAGCTTACACTGTATAACTGTACATAATAAAGGGAATATGAGTATTTTAACGTTGGGAAAATTATTAGTAACTAACTCAAGAAATCTGTCGCCTTTGTGCTCTTTCAAATAAACCCGGATATATTTGGCATTCCATGAACAATTGTGACAATAAACCACGCATAATCCATGCGAAACTTGTGAACTAGTACCCTTTTTTGTCAATTTTTCTGATGAGTATTTATATCAATTTTTATTAATGAATGAGTATCTAAAATTTGTATTTACCACATTTCTGTTAGCTTACCTTTCTTTACTTTCTACTTCAAAGTAATTTGAAGCATATAACACTCCTAATCTCTCTTCACTCCTGATTTTCACTGGCAAACCTGAAACATATCAAACGTTTATAGGATATTTAAAAAACTATGATGAATGGGTTTATTTAAACATTGGATGATAAAATACATAGTCAAATAGTTTTTGGTTTTTAATTTTCAATAATGAAATTTTTTTATGACCAAGAAAAATATATTTTAATCTCCCCCCATCAAAATTTCAGGATGTTACAAGATAGTAGAATTCACAATTGAACAAAAAAAAAATCCGCCTAATAGGACGAATTTTTTTTTGAGATTTTGTACCAAAGTCATTGGTCACTCGAGAATGATCTTTGGGATTCGACATTTCCATCATCAATTTTCTTTTAATTTGTGACCAATAGAAATCTCCCGTATCTTAGCAATTTATGATGATAGTGCAAAAATATAAAAATTTTTATATTTTAGTAACATATATGCATCTTTTGTATTGATAGAATATTATAACTGATGTAAGTGACTTACTTCATCTAACAGCCTTATCAAATCTTAAATAACATACCTGATTCATTTTGTACTATTTCATATACACTTTCATCTATTGGGAGGTTATTGTCATCATAAGAAAACAAAACCAGTATTTCTGTAAATGGATAAAAGGTATAATTTGCTTTATACACTGGGACAGTTATAATTTGAAGGCTCTCAGAGATCAAAGCGCCATCTGTACAATCAACTTCATTATCGAGGCAGAAGAGTAAACAGGATCTAGAAAAAATATTTTCAGTATGAATTAATAGGTGTGTATTTATCATGGATGTAGGATTTTAATGTTGAGGTGTTTAAGTCGTTCCGTTTAGTGTAATTTGAAATGCACCAAGTTGCGTTGACAATTTTTCATAGAATTTTTTATTGTCTTGTTTGTATGTGTATGTTTGTTTTGCCAAATCCCAAAATTTTGCTTCCTATGTCCAAATTAGTCTCAGTATGGTGTTGTAGATCAGTAGCTTGTTTCGTAATTTAAGTGAAGATATGTAGTCCAGAAGATGTGATAGTTGGTTATATTGTCTTATAAGTTCTTGTATTTTTAATTTAATATGTATGTTTATAATTCAAACATAAAATAATTGTTTAATGAAGAAGCTTCACCCTAACATATTAAAAAATCTGGTGCGCACATCACACAACATTCACTTACTACTCTAATTTAAGTAAAAATAAATCATTTGATGTTTTATGCTCAAAACATAAAATAATATAAAATGAGCAATTTAGCTCGTAGGAACATCATATATAGGTAACTGTAAGTAAAAATCATAGAAGATACAACAAATTATTTAAAACAATTAATTACCAAATGCTTCTCCACTCGTCTAATATATTAAATCTATGAGTTTTTCATCACTAACTATTTTCTTTTATTTTTGTATATTTTAATTATTTATTTGATTATAAATAATAAATAAAGTGGCACAAAATATTGAACAAGAGTGTCAGTAAGGTCACATATTCATTTATATTTCATTGTTGGTATTTTTTGTTTTGTTTAAGAATTGATATATTCTTCAGTAATAGTTAATTTTTTAAAATGAACATAATTAACGGTACTTTAGACAAAAAAATTTTGAAAAATCGGAGTTTAAGCCGTTAGAGAATATCAATGGGAATAAAACCTATCTTTTATTAGAAACCCCTTAATTGTACAATAGCCATTTTCAAGAAAATCATAAAAATGTGTTAAATCAATGATATAAAGTGCCAGTTCCAGTAAGCCGATTTTGACAGAAAAAGTTGCTGTAACATCCCAGGCATATACAAACCTCAAATATGCAATTTCAGTTTTGACGTTTTAGCTAGACTATTCTCATACACACAGACCATTTTGCAAGACTTCAAAACGCGTGCTTCTGTTGAAAACTCGAATTGGAAATTTTCATGATTGCAATACTTTCACTTAATATATATTTCATATATAGGTAAGTGAAGGAAATAAAATAGAAAAAATGGTGTGGATTAATTTATTTGTAGTGGATTGGCTCTGGATCATAGTTTATTTGATTGATATACATAATTTTACATTTTTATTATCTTAAAATTAGAAATTATTAGTTACTGTAATTAATTGCATCTTTACGGCACTTGATTCATAACACACTTGATTTTATACTTCTGTCAATTTAACACATTCAGTTTTATTTTCAAAACAAAACTATCCTAGTCCATTCTATTTACTTGAAAAAATAAACAAAAAATACATATTTAAAATCTAATGTAGATTGAGGGGGGTGAAAAAATAGTTGATAAAATTCTATCTTTTTTTTATTTTTTTACTTTTTCGTTAATTAATATTAGTCAACTGGCTGCTTGACTTTATTCCAATGAAATTTTATCTTATTTCAAAGCATAAATTAACCAAAGAAATAAGTTGTATCATGAAAACTTAAAATTCTGATGAAATTTGGCATTATCATAGCTTATTGTAACAATTAGAGAGTTTTAAAAGACCTTCAAATAAAGTATAATCAATCTAGTATATTTATATTTCTTATATTACCTAGTTTCTGGCGAAAATATGAATTTATCCGGACAAGGAGCATCGATACACACATAGGAACCTGGAGTGTTCATACATAGCTCCTGTCTAGAACAGGCGTATTCGTCCTCTATACATTCATTTATATCTGTAAATCATTTAATAACCAAATTATATTGACTTGTAATTTTGATCAATTTAGTACTGAATTAAATTTAGTTTTTAACATATTAAAATACTCAATAGTATTCATTAATTTTATAAAATTTGTTAGAAAAATAAAACAACTATTTGCCTAATTCCAGAAGTATTACCTTCACATTCATTTTTTTCAGGTTTAAACCCAGATTTACAAGTTATATTATCTTTATTTTGATCAGACTTGATAACACGATTGCTGTCATATCTTTCTTTTCGGTTAAAATTAAGATTTCTTAATCCTTTTCTGTTACTTTTCTTTGAAACAGGAATTACAGTAGAAGGATATTCTAAGTAATCTAAATCATGTAACCCCAATGAGTAATCTTCATATTCTTCTTCTGAAACTAAATGAAACTAAACTAAAAAAAAAGAAGAATTATATCTTTTATTGTGAAATACTTTCAGTTCAGTAAAAAACTTGGCAAATATTTATGTTGGTACAAATTAGTTTTTTTAATCTTACCTTCAACACAGTTAAAAAAATCATCGGATAAAATCATGTTGTAGGGACAGAGGCACTGATAACTTCCTTTAATGTTTTGGCATGTATGCGAACACAGATGGGAACCTTCCAAACACTCATTTATATCTGTAAACAAAATATTATTATTTCCTTTGAATTCAAATATATAAGTTTTTCATCATTTATGTAATGAAGAACCTTTGCAGCCTCCTTTATCAGACCTCTCTCGATATCCTTGCCGACATTCACAAATATATGAGCCAATGGTATTAATGCAAATTTCACTTGGATAGCAATTATTTTGCCATTTCCGGACACATTCATTTATATCTTCAATCAAAGGACAATAACAAAATTAAAATATGTAAATAATAAAACAAAAATTTAAGAAACAAGTATCATGTATAACTGAGAATTTACATAAATAAAATTGTATCATGTCCATTAATTCATATCTTGGGTGTCTTATGTAAACTATTGTTTTTCTTTCCATAAATACATTATTTTATGTATCTCATTTCTCAATACTTCACTCACCTTGACATTCTCCGTTTTCATCATTGTATTTAAATCCCTTAGGACACGAACCATTTTCAAAATTTGATGTCACAACAGCCCCAGTCTGATATTCGATTCTTCCCTTTTTTCTATTATATTTGGTGCGCTGTCTGTTTGATTTAAATCGCTCAACTGGAAGTCTGTAAAAATGTTTTCTTTAAATATTTGTTATTTAATAAGACTTAAAATTTTATTAAGGTTTAAAAAACTCATGAAATTCTGGGTAGCACTAAATGATAACCATTGGCATGACAGTTATCTAAAGTCAGGTTTTGAAAATGATGTTCCTAAAAACAAAAAATAATACTTAAAATTTTTTTGGAATGTGTCAGCTATACTGTATCATGAGCAATTATAAGAAATTCATGTAAAACGACTACTAATACCAGAAATGGACTTTTGGAGAGGAGAAAATCAGATGTTTTTTCCCCAATCCAGAAAGTTCAATAACAAATCAAGTCAAAAAATAAAAAATATACTTAACACAGTTTGCCAAAACAAAAAAAAAAAACCTTGAATTCATAATGTGGATTGTGTTTGTCTAAAAGAATTTTAGAAGTACCTAAAAATGAAAGAAAGTCTATCCAAAGAAACTTGGAGGGGGTGAAAGAAGTTATGAAGGAATATGGAAGGTGATTGTAAAGACAAGATAATAAAAAAAGATCTATTTGGGAAAGACATATGACTCATCTTTTAGTACTTTTTATAATAATAAATGAATAAAATATAGTACTTACATTCTACTATGCCTATTTCTAGGTAATTCTATACTTTTCCTCCAAGAAACAGGAATTTTCTTTCCATTTGTTTGAAGAGTTGTATGCGATGAGCTCTTAATAGTTTTTCGATTAGTCTGGACAATATCCTCTAAAAATAAATATTCATTTAAAGTAAACTGAGCATGAAAAATTAAAATATAAAGCTATATTCAAGAATTTTGATAAGAATTAAGAGAATTATAAGTATAATAAGTTATACAAAAAGAATAAAATTGTTTCATGATACAAAGTAGAGAAACAATAATCTTTGTTATTTCTACATTTCCTTGAAGTAGTCATTAGTAGTTAAGTGCATATACTAGGTGTGTAAATATGAAACCGGAATTTTTTAATAAAAAATTCACATTTATTTCATGAAAATTAAAAAAAATATTATTTTATTCGAAATATTGTCCATCACTAGCTATACATTTTTTCCATCTCTCTGACAATTTATGAATACCGTAATTGAAAAGCTGTTGCAGTTTTGTGGTTAACCAGTCATCAAGCCACTTTTGTACGTTTTCAGAAGAAGTGAAATACTGTTGAGCAAGTGAATGCCCCATCGAAGCACCGTGATTTACCAAGAGTATCCTCACTATAAGTTTTGATGCGCTGTGCAGCAGTTTTCTTTAAATCGTAAAAAAAAAAACTAATAGTGTTTTTAAATCGTAATTTGTTGGCACAAAACATTTCATATTCAACACTAAAACAATGCTGTTATATGAAACTTGTATTGCTGCGAGTTGAAAATCTTTGCTAGCAGTTGAAGTAACAAAATGTTTCCAATAACGGTTAAAGTTAACTACATTAACAACTAGAGTTGGAAGAATTCTGGTTTCATGTTTACACTTCTGGTATACAGGATGGATAAAGGATGAATAGCCAGAAAATAGTATAATGGAAGACCAGGAGGAATACAACCAAGAGGAAGGCCTTAAGCAAGAGTGAGGGATATTACACTCAATTATAAACACAAGTATTGCAAATATATCAAATCTTATTTTTACAGATGCAGTCTTTACTATTTAAAATTAGTTCGACTTCAATAAAATCAGTTGAATAAAAAATTCATATAACGTCAGAGTCAATGATTAAAAAATTATTTAAACATACCATCATAGGGATCAATAATTATTGTAGCTTTGTTGTCAATTGGTGCTTGTCCTTTAACTTGTATATTGAGTTTCAATGGATCCGAAGAGTCATCAATTTCTGCATCACTTTGCATTTCCATCTCTTCTCCTTTAAGGAAAAAATAATAAAAAATTATATTTAATTATTTATTTTTTAAATAAAAATTACAACTAGATAATATGTAGGTATATTGAGAATGAAACAATAAAATTAGATTTCGATTTAAGACAAATGATTTATTTGTGCTCACTTGAATCATATATTATTCTTATCTAGAAATTCAAAACACAATGACTAAGTATTTAACAAAAATGATTCAAAAAATAATAAAGAAGGGTACAATTTATAGATTTGTACCAAATTTACAAATTTTAGCTCACCTGATTTATTAGAAAAATATACATGATGATAACAATTTTTACAAAAAATATTAAATTAATTTTAAAAATCTTGCTCTATTTCGTTAAAAAATATTTGTTATTTTCTATTTTTTTACTATAATCTGATTTACATCAGTACAGAGCAAAGTATGTGTCTAAAAAGAAAACACCATTTAATTTTTCTTTGATTTAAATTTTAAATATTGTTATTATGAAGAGAAGAATAGTTGGGGTGATCAATCAAAAAGGAAGGCAAAAATAAATGATAATATTTATTTTTACATATGCCGACGTTTCGACCTGAAGTTCAGGCCTTCATCAGGGCTAAGAAAATAACCAGATAACAAGGTATGAGAAACATAAGTAGTGATGGTAAAAAAAAATAAATAAAATAAAATAAAAAAATATAAAATAAATAAATATAAAGTAAAATGAAATTGTTAGAATAATGACTAAGAACTAAGAGATAAATAATAATAACTGTTACAAAGTGTGGAATGATGAAGTAGGCATAATCAAAAAGGGTGATATAAGTGTTACAATGGAAATCTTAGATTAAAATGTAAAACATAATTTTTTTTTTTTTTTTTTTTTTTTTTTTTTTTTTTTTTTTTTCTTACCCTCCAAAAAGTTTATTGAAACAATTACATATATAGTATACAATAATACAATATAAACATGTAATAAATTCCTTCCACTGCCCGAGGGCATATGTAAAACATAAAAAAGAAATATGAAGTTATATAAGAAATGAAAATAAATAGTAAAATTAAGACATTGAGAATGGAGTAGTTATAATTACTTTTAAATATTGTTATTTATCTTTTTTTATTTTGTTTTATTAAATAAAAATAGTTAATTAGTTGATATCAAAGTAATTTAGAATAAAAAGTTAGTGTGGTCCATTTTTTCCAGGACCAAATACAAACAATGCTTTGAGATATTTAAGACTTCGGATGAAGTTTTATAAAGATAGAAATAGAATAAAAATAGGTATTTCTTGGTACGAAATAACAGCTTACTTTTCTCTGTTAAAAGTTGTCAGTCGTGAGCAAACCCAAATATTTAAAATCATGGAATACACTCAGAACTTAATTATTTATAATGAAAATTACTTATACCACTTTTCTATCCAATGGATCAAACAAATTTCTTATCATTCTCATTCATAGCAATAATCATTATTTTTACAAATATAAATAAGATAATTAACCATAAGGTATATATATTTGACAAAATAAATAACATTTAATACCTGTGGAAAATTTATAAGTTGTATTTTCATGAAAACTTCCATTTATTAGTGAAAAACCATTTTTTCCTCTGATTTCATGTGCAGCTAGCCAAGACACAGGGCTAATGATGAAAGGAATATTGGTCATATTATATTTCTAAAACAAAATATTTATATCAGAATAAATTAGTATAAAAATAATAGAGACTTAATAAATCTACGAATCCAGCAATTTACAAGCCAAAAAAGATTTTTATATCTTCATAATTAATACATCATTCTTAATACTTCTGTTTCTGTGATAATACTCATCTAAATAACAAACCTAATAAGTAGATAATTAATAAATGACCGAGGACAAACCATCAAAATAGACTACAAGACTGAAACATTTTGGAGAGAAATGAATGTTGTGCATTTGGTGCGATCAGAATAGTGTAGTGTAACATGACCTTCTGAAACCAAGTGAAACGATAACATTCGCTACCATCAGAAAATGATCAATTTGAACCATGCATTAATCGAAAATTAACTAGGATGGGCTGCAAAACAAGAAAATGCTATTTTGCAGCACAGTGCAACTACAAGCCCCATCAAACACAGGGAAAGCAATCAAAGACATTATTTCTACAATTGGTTGGGAACTCTTACCCACCCACCATATTCACAAAACTTGAACCCTTCATTTGTTTTCATCAATGTCTCACGCACTTTCCATGAAACATTTCAACAATTAAGGAAATATCAAAAAAAATGGGATGATTGGACCACATCAAAAGATTTACGGTTTTTCTGGGAGGGTCTCCACAAACAGTCAAAGGGGTAGGGAAAATGCATAACTAGCAATAAATCAATTTATACCTTTCTCCCATTTTAAACTTCTTTTTTTTTAAAGAAAATATTAAGAATGATTACCTTCCAGACCTGGTGGCATTTAGAACCACTAAGGGCCAAATTTCAGGCCAGATTTGAGTTTTATTTTTACCTTTGAGCAAATCCCTTGAAGACCAACCAAATTAATCTTAATTAAACTCAATCCTAGAATAAGGGAGAGGAGAGAAGGGAATGAATCAGTTGAAAATTCCATAATATCTGAAAATTTCATCCATTACTTATGAATATTCTTCTGTAATGGTTTCATTTTACCATCTATAGAACATGAAGAGAGAAACACTTTATTTTCATATAAAATATAAAAGCTGCCCAATTGTATAAATTATATTATATAGATAAAATTCAACTTTTCGTTATTCTTATTATACTACACATTCGAGGCTATGGAGGCCATGCATGTTAAAACATCGCTTGCCAGTTTGAATCAGGCCTGAGTGGATTGAAATTTATTTAGCAGAGAACCCACAGAGTAAATCTTGACTTTTCCACTCTGTCTAGTATAGAATGGTTACCTGCCCTCCTCGATCTGGGTCGGAATACATAATGATCTTATCGACAAGTAAACAAAGAATATTTTGCATTCACTTTCAGAGTTAACATAATAAAGATAATATAGTTTGAAAAAATAATAATCTGCAGATGCTAATTATAGTTAATCGCTAATTACACAAAGCCTGAAACTAAGTATAATCTCTAAAGTAATTTATAAACATGTAGAAAGGTGAGAAGCAACATTGATAACTGAACAAATATAACTTAAAATAATAATTAAACTTTGTATAGTATAATAATAGTAACTCTACCTTATCAAGTGATGAATTAGTAATTGTATTCTCAGTGATGTTCAGAGGTACAGCTGTTATTTTAGTTTCATTACTATTCTCTTCTATTTCAGCTAGAATTGTTTCTTCAACAGGTAAACCATTCAATTCGCCATAAATATTCAGTTGTGCACTTCTCGGAAATCTTCTTCTATGGCATGGCACTTTTTGACACAATTTATTCTTGATATGAAAAAATGGCAAGAAAGATTAGTAAAAATTCTTATTCAATATGAAATATCAATGCATTCCATAAATATGAAAACATTCATAATTAATTAATATTATAAAATATATAAATAATTTAAAATGATAAGGCCAGTTTGTAATATATGAATCTGTATAAAACCTGATTGAATTAATAATTGAAAATATTAAATGAATCTTAACTTCACACTTGAAACCTTATCCATTTCATCACATTAATTTTAATTGATAAATAAACATTATACTTACCATTTTCCAGTATGGTTATGTGATATAAACCAATAAAATTCAATCTGAAACCAAACATCAATGTAATTATCTTATCAATAAAGCCTACCTGATGAGATTCTCCTTTGCAATCTACACTGAAAACTCCCCCAAGACAGAATCTTTTTCTTATTTGGCGACCGGTACCACAAGTGACAGAACAAGGACTCCATCCTGACCATTGTGACCAACCAACATAGCTTTCTATAAAATAACAAATGACACATAGGAATTTAAACATTAAATTTAATTGATTAATGACATGAATGTCAAAAACAAACAATAAAAGTAAAATATGATATTTTTAAATTCAAAACGATTGTATACAAAATAAAAAGTAATTAACACTGAAATTTTATTAATTATTAGTACTTCAATATTTTATTATTATTTAGCAGTAACGACTTCAATTTTGGACAAGCTGATTAGTTTAACATGTCACTCACAATTAAAATATATTACCTTCACACTTGGGTTTTTTACACAGAGTTACATCTCTGCTGTTTCCTGAACATGGAAGGCCGCCAAAGGCTGGTGCAGGATTGTTACAGCGCCTCATTCTCATTTTTATGCTGTAACCGCATGTTGTAGAACACTCACTCCAATCAGACCACTCACCCCTAGAAAAATGTTTACAATATAATATTTCAATATATAATTAATTTTGATTATATATTATATATGAATGTACAAATTTTAAATAATTAATTAAAACCTAGTATGTCATTTTCAAAAGTTATACATCAAAATATTCCAAAAGTGCATTTTAGTACAGTTTAGTTCTAATGTACCGCAAAGAAATAAACACAAACTTTCTTAGAATTATAGCGAAATAAAGACAAAATAAAAATATCACACAAAAATAAATGAACAAAAATCAACAATGAACAAAATCCATTAATTTCATTTTTTTTATTTTTATTTTTTGATATATTTGTCACCTTTCTAATAATTTTACTATAAATAATTAATTAAAACCCATTATGTCATTTTCAAAAGTTATACATGAAAATGTGCAAAAAGTACAATGTTTTGCATGCTTTTCATTGTTTTGTTTATTCACAATTTTTTTTAACTTGCTGAAATAGAATTTATCCTTAATCCAACTTTAAAATGAAACGTTAACTTTTTTAAAGACATCCTTTCTCATAACTGTTTATTTCATCACGCTCTTGAAATCTTAACCTGTATTTGGCTAAAGACAGTCTATTCTTGAATTGTATTTTCAGCATATTCAAAGCTGTTTTTTCAGAAAAATAATAACCTAACCTGGTCTGTCCTCTCAAACCTGATTTTTTTTTAATGAGATAAATATTGTTTATTATTATTATTTTTTTAACTGAGGTCCAATAAAACGGGACACGGCTTTGCAAAAAGAAACAATACATAATCTAAAATTATTATAATGATATCTATACTGTGAAATGTACACCAAAACATGACTGATTATTATCTACGTATATATAAATGTTATTTAAATAAACTTATTATTATTATAATAAAATCATCTCATATTCAGAAAACTTATTGTGTTAAGCAGGTTATTTAGTCAAATAAGTATGTTCTAATGCAGGGGTCTTCAAACTTTTAGACCCACAGACCACATTGAGACCTCCGGTAAGACCCTCAGACCCATTAAGACCCGTGGACTATGGCTTGTGGTGAAAAAAAAAAAGCTTGTTCCAGAAATAATATTCTAAAAGTGAAATGAGGTTTCACTCAAGAAAGCTCATGCAATAAATGTTGTAGTAGCCTCGTGTTTTTTTGATTTACTAAATTTCATATTTTTAAAAATTATACCATGTGATGAAAGAAACGTTTGAGAGTCAGATAAGAAGTTCTGGCTAAATTTATAACGACAAAACATAGTTTAAAGACTCCAGTTGTAATGTACCACACAGAAATAATAAACAAAATTTCTTAGAATTATAGTGGGATAAAGACAAAATAAAAATATCACACAAAATAAATGAACAAAAATCTTCAAACCAAATAATAAGAAATATAATTAAAATTGTGCAAAATGTTGCGTAAACTACCAATAATTAATTCAGTAATACAAATATAATTAATTAATAATTTTACCAATTTCCATTTATTGGACAGGGAACAATTCCACAGTTTTTCTCCTCATATGATTCGCCAAAACAATCATCTCCACCGTTTGAAGGAGGTGGATTATTGCAACGTCGAGTACGTCGCTGCAGCCCCTCACCGCATGTACTGGAACAATCACTCCAGTCACCCCAATCACTCCAATTTCCATTGATCTGTGAAAACATAATATAGATACAATGATTATAATATGACACATTGAAATTATTTTTAACTTAATTTAATAATAAAATATATTATTTTTAAAAATTATCCAATAGTCGTCATTAAACATAAATTAAACAAATAATTTAATGAACATACTGGACAAGCGTGAAAATTGCAAGATCTATTCTTAGAATCTGGGCCAGAACAGCTGCTGTTCTTATAGTGAATGTATTCACTCGTTATTCCATTGTCTTCGCCTAAGCATTTTCTAGTTTTAACTTGAACGCCAACTCCACAAGAGGAACTGCATTCAGACCAGTCACTCCACTGCCCCCACTCCATGACAACTGAAAAAATTCTTAAATAAGTAATTGGAATCTAATATGGAAATAAGAAAGTGCAAAATATTTTGAGGGAGGGAAATCCTTTTTTTCTCTCTCCAGTTGACTACAAAAGGTTTAAAAAAAAAGAGCATAAGAATACATTAAAGTCCAACAGGCGTATTTTAATATGGTTCTATCTTAATGATTTTATTATTATTGTGTTTATAATGGATCAACATTAGCACAAATACAACAAATTATTGAAAACCTTTCTCCTTTTCAAAGTGTTAGGAAGACTGTGTGAGTCGACAGACCAGATAATCTTTCTTTTTTTGGGAGGATGTACTAAATGTTTTTGAGTTTTTGAAACAGTTTATAGAAAAAAAAATTGTTAACATCAGATTTCTGGGGTGATAGGCCCAGTAGTCTTGGAGAAAAGTAGATGGTAGATGGATATATTTTTGGATTCTAAGTATTTTGGAGCATAAAATCTCAAATTTTGAGTAGGGTGATGATAATTTTTTTCTTGATTGATTACAAAGGTTCATCAGCATTAACGAAAAAGCAACACATAAATAGAAAGTCTAAAAGATAGTTTTTACCTTTTCTAATAACAATCCTATTTCGGTGATGTTTATTTTGTTTTTGCTTTTTAGGGAATTATGTTGCCTTTGAAGTTATCATGTTTATAGACAACCATAAATTGCATAATATTTTATCTATAAAGTTTCCCTTTCTTTTCATAACTTAATTACTTGTCTTTCTTGAGGATGTGCTTATTTTTTGACATTAGCAGGGAAGATAATCCTCAAAATGATGGCACAATCTTTGTGCAATCATTTAGCTTAAGTGTTGAGAAATAATACATATAGATAAGCAATAAAATTATAAATTTTCTTAAATATTTATAAATGCAATACTTACTAGATATGTGTAAGAAGAAAGTAAATGTTTCATTTCCTACATCGTTACTACCAACACATTTATAGATTCCAGCATCTGATTCCTTCGGATGATTGATTACTAACATTTTTCTATCATGTGATAACATAGAAGAAATTCCAGTAGTTATTTCTTCAGAGTCCTGAATTTAAAGCCAAACATCAAATTTTAAACCAACTTCTTTTTAGTAATTCAAAAACTATTGCATTATAGGGATCATAAATAACTACAAAATGTAAACAAAAATTGCATATAAAGTTTCTTTATTAATTCGACACAGTAAAATAATTATTAACTCACTACAAGTTGTTAGAGGTTATTTAAAAAAGTAAATGGATCAATATAGCTTCCTCATCATTTATATAGAGTGGATAATTTATTATTTAGACCAATAATTTATCATTAATGATCTGTGGTTTGAGAATAAAATCTATAGAACGAGACTTTTTTTAAATATGCATCAGAATATACGTAAGTAAAAGTTGAGGATTAAATTTGATGAAATTGGCAATGAATCATTTTTTCATGAGTCATTAAATTTCTTTCAACATTTAGCCTAATCGGATGAGCTGTTTTAGGAATACAAGTAAGGCAAGATAAAATCATTTACATCTGTTAAAGCAGAAATACTGGATGCAATTTACTAAAATTGATACTGGGCCATTTTTACTCTAGTAAAGAGATTTCCAAACTTTTTGGGCCATATTCAGATCCCCGATAAGTTCCGTAGGCCACATTGTGACGCCAACTAAGTGCCACATAACATGGCATGTGAAGAAAAAAAAAAGCTATATATATAACACTTTAACTGTCAAATGAACTTTATAAGATAAAAAAACTTAGGCAGTAAAAGTTGTAGTAACCTTATGTTTTTGTGATTTAATAAATTTCATATGTTTTAAATAATTTTTAAAATTGTATCATGTAATCAAAGAAACTTTCGCGGGCAGGATTGGAGGTCCTTGCCGGTAGTTTGGAGATCCCTGCTCTACTCCTTAACTTTTCTATAACTTTGAACCAAATCGGAGAGGTGACTTTTAAAATATACGAGTATTAAGAAAAATACATTTGCACATGCCTAGGAAATAGCATTGTTGGGGGTTTGATCCAGCACCAACTTATTCCATACTTGAAATGCTTATCAAAATCAGACTAACAGTAGGTCTATAGCTGTCACATAGATTTGACAACATATCAACATGGAATCAAATTTGTTCCTTGATTTCTAAAAGTTTATGGAACACAAATGGAAAATTTTAATCTGAGGACAATTTTTTTCACTTTCAGCAAGAAGGTTCTCCTTCTTCAGTAATGAGGAAGCGAAATATTATTAAATTACATGTGATATAAATGTTAGAACATTATGTTCACGCATAGAATTGCATCCTCACCTTGTACCATGTAATATTAGGTTCAGGTAAAGCAATCAGAGGGCATCTCAGCACAACTCTTCTATAAATATCAGTTTTCATAATTTTTTCCATTGATTTACTTTCTTCTTTAACATCAGGAGGTACTGAAAATAAATCATTTATCTATGGCTCATCACAATTCAATTCTTAAACTAAATATCAACACAAAAAAAAAAATTAAAAAAAAAGGAATATATACTAGGGACAGAATGCAGTTGAATATCTACTTAAACATATTGATGGATTATTAGTGAAGTAGGGTTATATCAAAAATTGAAACTTGGTTGAGTAGTTGAGTGCCTTCACACACCAAAGGGAGCTTAAGATTGTACTGGCATTATATTAACTTACATTCTTCATGTTTATGATTTATGTTTATGACAGATAGCAGAAGTTTTGTGTCTGTAAACATACTGATAAATGAGACAGAATGAACTTGCAAGAGCCAAAATGTAAAGTGGAAGAAATAGGGTCACTTCTAAAAATCAACCAATGGGTTTAAACAGTTATACAAGTACATTTTAAAGATTATTTCCGTAGTTTGTTATTTTTTTAAAAATAAAATTACTTTTTATTTTATTTGAATTTCACTATCGACTGCAATTAGGAGAGGAAGAATGGGTTATCTTATAGGCAACCAACGTATTCTAGCCTGATTGAGAAAGTTCATCAAAGATTATTTATCATGTAGATGCTTTTTATTTTATAATTTTTATTCCAAGTATTGACAGTTTATATGCATGCAGGAATGATCATGAAATTACACTTAACAAAATTTTATGAATTCATTTATTAAAAATGTTCATGGTTGACTTTCTAGATTTTTCATATAATCTGAATAAGTCTATAAAAAGTACAAAAATAGTTTTATTAGTGTTACTGCCTAAATCCAGATTCTTCTATACTATGATATCAAATCATTAACCAGACAAGTATCAAAAGAGGAAAATGTTTATGAATTACTAACAGCAGACATTATTTCAGATAATAGCTACTTATCTATTTTTAATTGACTAATTTCTTCATCATAAAAAAACAAAAAAACAATCTGTTACCTATGATTTCAACATTAAAATTATTTTCCACAAAACCTAAGATATTACTGCAGTAACATGAATATTTTCCAGTGTCGGATATATCTACTTCATCAATTTCCTATTGAAAAACAAAATAGACAATAAGTAATAATTTGCCAAATCAAAGCAGAATAAACATATATTTTGAAACATAAATAAAAGTTACGATACCAAAGTTTGATTGTTTTCAGACAAGACGACCTGGGGAAAAGTTATATTATCAATCTGCTTCATGTTTCTAGTCCATAAAATAGTTGGCGTAGGATTTCCGATAACTGAACAATTAAGCAAAAGTTTTTCATCCAACAGAACCTTTTGAGTGGTATTAGTATTAGGATTGAGCAACTTTGGACTTGCTAAAAATAAACCCCAAAATATTTATGAATAATGAATTAAAAAGTACAAATGAGATGAAAAATATGTTATAATTTTTACCTAGGACATTTACTACAACTTTTGAAGCAAGCTCTCCAGCAATGTTAGAAGCAATACAAATATATTCTGCATCATCATCTAAGGTACAGGAGGGAATATATAATGTTTTATTTTCATAACCATCCATGATAAGTCCATTTTTCTTCCACTGAATTTTAAGCTCACTGACTGATTCTACTGGGCACTCAATTTCAATATCAGATCCACTTAAAAATTCAAGTTTTCTTAATTTTTCCCAATCATCATTTAACATCTTTGGAGCAGCTAAAATTGAATAAAAGTTAGAAAATGTAATAAAACAGCAATTAGTTTTTTTTATAGTTCATGATCAAAAGCACCGCATTGATCTATGAAATAGATTTGCCATTTCACAATAATTTGTTGAGATGCAGTGGTATAGTAAGAAACTAGACTGATACAGGAAACTAATACTTTATTGCTTGGAACCATACATCGGCAAGCATAGTCGTAGTTGAACTGGGCTCTATAAACGTGGGGAATAACAGAAATGGTGGAGACCAATAGTTACATGATAACCATGCTGTAATAATTCATAATTCAAATATATAATATGAGCATACAAGTATAAAAAATTCTTTATCATTCAGATTTAGATTATAATTGAACTCAAGAAAACAAATGTCTTTGTATTTAATTGTGACATCAGTAATTTCTTACTTTCTTAATGCACCAGCCAAACTACACCTATATTCTCAATCTCTTCATCACTTCTTTAGTCATATCCTTCGTTAAAATGTCTGCTATCTGGTCTTGTGTCTCTTTGTTGACAATTTTGATTTTTCTCTTCTCAACTACATCTTTGATGAAATGAAACTCTCTGTTTATGTTTTGTGTTTCTTTTCCTTCTCCACTAATTTTTATCAATGTCTCCACCTGTTTCTGATAATCTTGCTGTTTCTTCCTCTCTTTATGTATAAGCTTCTTGGCTGGTTTTACTGTTACAGCTGGCTTTTCCGTTACTTCTTTCTCTTTATCTCCTTTATATTCAGGTTCATATTTTTTAGCAATATTCATTTCAACTGGATTTGCAGCTTTAGCAATTTTTGCCTTTTTGGCATTCATTTTAATCTTTTTGATTTTCTTCTTTTTTCCAGAAGCTTTATTGTCCATTTTTAACTTACTCACCTTTTCTGTAATGGATTTCACACTTGGATCATTCTTCTTATCCTGACTCCTCATTATCTTCAGATTTGGCCCATTCGTTAAATTTAAGACTGTTGATTTAGATTCAATCTCTCTACTTTCAGGTGAATCATCAGTCAATTCAATCTTTAAATTTGATATAATTCTTGTATTAATGAGCTCTGTTTCAACTGAATTGGAAGCTGTTTTTTGTGACAAATCCTCTTCATCAAGACCCATCTCTTCATTCACTTCATCTTCCTCTTCAGAAAACTTATCCTTACCCTTCTGTTCCCTTTTTGTCTTCTTATAAGTTTCTATGGGTTCACAATCACTATCTTAAACTACTTTAGTGTTTAAAAATTATTAATTCTTTTTTAATCACTCAGATCCTGACCTTTGTTTCTCCCCTTTTTTTGGAATCTTAATTACCTTAATTTCAGGTTTAATATCCTTGTCACTATCTCCAGTTACTCATGGCACAATACCATTGATAGCTGCACTGTCGCTCTGATTCTGATTCTTGTTTCTTAGACTGTTTTTTGACTGACTCAACTTCTTTACTTTTATTTGGCTTAGAACATCTAAATCACTACTATCGTCGTCACCTCTCCAATCTTGAACTTTTCCTTTAACCTTTTTGCTTCCACACAGAGAAGCATTGTATTTTGTTTTTTGACAAGCTTAGATTCTTGTTACTCTTCTTCAACGTTGTTAACATCTATGGGTTCATTATGATAACTACGGTCATAAATCCTATCGTGACCTTTGTTAGTTGTTAGTTGACCTTTGTATAGTTTTTTCATTATTTACGCATAGTTTGTCTTCACAATGACTGACTGAATACTTGATTGTTTCTATTTATAGTAATTAATCATTCAAATGACAGTAACATTTGTCTTAATTCACTAAATTTAATGTTTCTATTGACTACGATAGGATTTACAACAGGGTCATAGTATTGAGGCAAACCTTCAATTATATATCTTATTAATTCTCCTCAGGTCCTTCTCCAGTTGAGCTAATCACTGAATTATTTTAAGATACTTATCCAGACATACTGGCAGCATATGAAAATGCATTAAACAATTTTTTTTGTTGAAATTTTGGATTGATCTGGTTCTTATACCAAGTTGCCATTAACTATAACTTGAGCTTCGAAAATTTGTCATTTAAATAATAAAATTAAAATATGTAAAAATAATCATGCATCATATAAAAAATGAAAATTTCATTGAAATTTGATACCTATTACTATCACTTCATACTTTAATTCATCTGTACCAGCTAAGTTTGATATTAAGCATTTGTACGATCCTTCATTTTCCTTAGAAATATTAGCAAGTTTACAAATGTATTGGGTAGAATTAAAATCTCTGAAAAAATTCTGAGCTATGGTATTGCTAGATTCATTTAAATACACTCCATTGAAGAACCATTGTACCAAAGCATGCTTCCTTCCTAGACATTTACATGAGAGTTCTAAATCATCACCTTCAGCTAACACAATTGTGTTGTTGATATCACGCTTAACTCTGGGAAGATCTGAAAAAAAAAAATAATAATAATCAGAAAATTAACATTTAACAGAAGCAATTATGCTTTTAAAAAATAAAAATAGCTAAAGGTCTCTTATAGTACTGTACACAACAATTCATAAATCTATTCAATAGAATTAATATATGTTTATTAAAACTAGGCATAATGAAAAGTTTTCAAATGTGTTAAAAATGTAGAACACTGTTTTCAGATTTTTGCGATGAAATTTTTGACCTGATCATCAAATATATCACCTAATTAAGATATAGTAATTAATTTTTATATTTATACAATCTACCATTTTATTAATATCAAATAATATCTAATTGACCACTTTAAACAAGTAACCTATAGCCAAAGCAATCTTTTTTAGAACAAACCAATACACAATAAATATTCCTTAATCTACATAAAACTTTAAATAATACTAACCGATAACAGATACATTAAAAGATTTTGTAGAATTTCCTGCGAGGTTGTAAGCAAAGCAAGTGTATAACCCTTCATTTTCTGCCTGAGCATAGCCAATATATATACTCCTAGTAACAAATCGTAAAGTTCTCTCCTCCCTAGAAAAAATAATAAAACAAGAAAAATCATTATTTACTTCATAAATTACTTTTCTTAGGTTTACTATTCTCTCTTTATGATGTCTGATTTCAATATCCATTCCTAACAGAAAACTGCTGTCTCAAAGTTTCATTTAATATCATTCACAGATTTAAATTAAAGAAACTTAAAACAATTTCAATGTTTTTATTATAAATATAAATGTGATAATGGAGATCACTATAGTTTTTAATATTTTACTGTTGCTATTACTTTCACTTACCTATATATGAAATATAGAGTAAAGGAAAGTATTGCGATCGTGAAAATTTTTGAATATCAGTTTTCAACGGAAATACACGTTTTGAGCTCCCCTATTCCCAAATAACCAAGTCCCACAAAATGGTCTGTGTGTGTGGGTGTTAACAGTCTATCTCAAAGAGGAAAAGTCATACAAAAGTGAAATTATATATTTAAGGTTTTTATATACTAGGGATGATAAAGCAACTTTTTCATCAAAATCAGCTAATAGGAAGTGGCACTTTATATCATGGACTAAACACATTTTTACGATTTTCTTGGAAACGGTTCCAACGATTTTGATTAAATTCATTATATAAGTGTAAAATTAAGCAGTTTTAAATAAAATGTAGTTTTTATTCTGGTTGATGTTCTCTGACAAGGCTTAAATGTCTAATTTTCAATATTAGCTTCCTCTAAAGTCTTTAATCTTTAATTTTTTTTATTTGACACAATTGACCATTTCACATTAATCTGTAATATAAAAGATAGTTAAATATAAAATATGAAAGAATTTGATAATTAACTAAAGGAGAAAAAAGAGATTGTAACAGAGAATAGTTGTAATTGGGGAACCAAAGGAATACGAGCTCATCAAAACTCGCCTGAAAGATTAGAACACGCTTCTATATGTAACATGAGCTTAATATGAACTCTGACAATATTATACAAATATACATAAGCGATTTTCATAAATGCAATTGTAGGTATTATTTAATATTTAATTGTATAGATTACAGTGATATAAATATTAAAATTTGTATATATAAGAGTACTTATATAAATAAAAATACTCACAATGAAATATAAATAAATATAGCATCTATAATTTTTACTTTCACTTCCCCTTTGTGTGAAAATACTTATTTCTGCTAAGAATAGGGCTATAAGTGAAAGTTGTGTGATGCAACGCACCAGATTTTTTTTATTTGTGTGAGCAAATATACAAACACAGCCATTAATTTGTTAAAAGGTACTTTCAAAGCTCTCTGATGTAATCTATTTTCAAGTTGGCTAACTAGGGGGAGGTGCCTCACAGCTAAGAGTTGAAAATAATATTCTGATAAAAATTAATACTGAGGCCACTTTTAGCATGGGATACTAGAACCATTGGATTTCCAGTCTGCTAATGGTACCCATCAAATATCTTCATGATAGGAAAAGTATTAGTAAGGATACATTATTTAATTATGTTTAGATAAATATAAAGAAAACAGACTAACCCAAATTCAGATTTATATGTCCATTTAAAGTTTGGATGAGGTGATCCATCAATGGAGCAATTGAGTTCTAATTTACTTCCAGATACAATCTCAACTTCAGATACTTCAGGTCCAAGTCTTTGAGGAGGACCTAAGAATCGACACATATATTTCAAAGAAAACAGAAATCACAAAATTTCCTTAACAAATTAAAATCATTTAATATAAAATAACTACATGATTCATAGTTAAATAAAATAAGAATGGACATGGAACAATAAAGACAGAACTAAATCAAAATAAAATATATTCAAAAATAATTCTCATTTTAATTTTAAAATGTTACAAAGGCTTAAGTAGGAAAAACACATATCCATAGATAAATAATAATATATTGTATTATATTTATTTCCTAGATAAATAATAATATAACTATAACTAATGGATTATACAAATTAAAAATTTGCTTAGATCAATATAAAAAAAAACTAATGGTAAAATAAAATAATTAAAAGGCTAAATGTAACTTTAACAACTAATTAAGAATTTAACAAATAAATCGGCCTTCATCACAAAAGGGACCAATAATTACCTTTTGAGAAGTACATTAAACAGTATAACAGTTAAAAAAAAAATGTTGATATATTAAAAAAAGTTAAACTAACAAAGATTCATGGCAACAACACATCAGTATTATTTAGTGTAAATTATATAAAAATAAAGTTACCAACTTATAACTTTAATGTTAAAGATTCGGTTTTCTGTTCCCAGCTCATTGCTGGCTGAACACAAATACAAGGTAGAATGGAAAAGTTTTGCTGATTTGATAAGCAAAGTGTTATCATTTTCTCCATAAATTTTAACAAGAGGTAATGTATGACCTGTTATTGGCAAATTATTTTCTGCAAGTCTCCAATTTATCTATCACAAAATGAAAATTAATTAGAACTGGTGAAGAAATGAATATCCATATAAATTAAGTCTGTAACAGAGAACTATTTAACCTGTGGTGGAGGACTCCCATTGGCTGCACACTCAAGTGTGATGGATTCATTTTCTCTCACTGTGTATTCCAAAGTTGGAAAAGCATCACTAAAATATGGAAGAAATTTCACATTCAATGAGAAGTAAGTTGTACTATTGCCATCAGGATGGATTGCAATACAAGAATATAATCCTGCATCTTCTGAAAATGCTTCAGTAATTTTTAAAATTTTTCCTCTGTCTCCTATCACAAAATGTACATCATCAGCTCGCTCTAAGGGCATGTTGGCTAGTGTTTTATTGTCCTGTAGAAAAGGAAAAAATCAATGGTTATCCAGATACTTGATCTTTCCCAGTATATTTCATATTGCAGACCATAGATAAATAACAAAATGAAAGTATTATGTTTTGGTGTGTATGAATATTTTAGAAATATTAAACTATAAAGAAGTGAACCACAATAAAACAATTAGTTTATTAGTACAAGCAGACGTTCAATGAGTAGATGATAAAATTTTAAATTACAGCATACATACCAGACTGAAACGACAAGAAACCGCTCAAAGTTTCCGATTACTTCAGCACTAACTAGACAAACGCTCTAAACTTTCAATTAATTACAAAAGACTCATATACATGATATAATAAGGCCTATTTGGACTTAAGGAGTTGAGTTATGGAGTTCCACTAAACCATCGAATTCCTCTCGTATCAAATCCTTACAATCCAAAATCCTTTGTAAAATCCTCAATGCTCCCTACTTTGTTACAAATAAAACCATCCATAATGACCTGAATGTTTCTTATGTTTCAGATCTAGCCCAATCCAGATACCTATCCTTACATAGTAAACTTCAGAATCATCCCAACCCTCTCGTTTCTAACTTTACTTCCTCTTCAGTTCCTGATGAATTCCTCTGAGGCGTCTGAAAAGAATATGGCCCCGTGATCTCCTAATATAGACATATTATTAGAGTGCTACCATTTGGTAATTTCTTAACAAGTGTTTTCACATCATTATATCCATATGTTCATTCAAATTTAAAATTTGTTCTCTGATTTTTTTTTTTTTCATTTTATTTATTCGCCTTGAAAAACTATTCTCCATCCTTTATGGTAATATCCCTAACAGTTCTTAAGCTATTTTGACAATTCATAGACGGTGAAATACCAATTTCACAGATGGTCTGAATTTAAGCAATTTCGTCATAGTTTTCATAAGTATTTTATTTTAATAGCTTACATTACATGATCATCACAAATTTATTTAATCATCTTATTCCTTTCCATTCTTAATTATTATTTTTATACTATTGTTTAAGCACTCTTTCATTTTGGTTTGGTTGTTTGTTAATTTGGACTTAACCTTCTAGTGTACCTCAACTAGGGCAGAAAGGACATATTATTATCAGATAACCAGCCTATCCTATAAATCTTAATTTATTCAAGCCAGATTCAAACGGGGGTAATAGAGTATTAACTTTCCTTAGGCTATCAATAGAACACATCTTCCTGAAATGAAGGTAGAGTGTTTAATAACTTATTAAGTTTGTAAGGTGAATGTTTCATAATGAATAAATTCACTTCTTCACATGCATTACTCAATTATACATTATTAGTCCATTAACAGAAGTTTTATTCGTGAATGCAACCATATATTCTTCTTGGCACCATTCTGTCATTAAAACAATCACTAAACATATCCCTAAACTTAAACTTATAAGGTTGGAGGAATAGGCATTTGGGACCATTTGATAAGGATAATATAAAATAAATATATATAATTATTCATAAAATCACAAAACATGAAGTATCCTGTTAACATACCTTCAGCCAAATGACTTTTGATCCTGGTTTAACATCACACTTCAGAACCCCATTTTCTCCCTCCACTATTTCAACTTCTTTAATTCCTTCTTTCACGCTCTGTTTATTATCTGCAATAAAATTTATGAAGCAACAACAGTTGGATACAAGAAAAATAATTTCACAATGTAATAACTTCGTCACCTTTAGAATGAATTCTAAAAGATATTGAAGATAATAAAAAAAAAGAAGAGAAATAACCACTTTGTTTCTTCAATAGTAATAATAAATAATGCAAATCTTTTTTAATATATTCTGCTCAAAAATGAACCGGGATATTTATATTTGATTTGTTTTAATCAAAATACCCTATTTTATTTTATTTTTTTGTTTGGTAGAGATTCTCTTGTTTGTTGGTAAACATAAAAAGTAAACACCATGTATAATTTATTTCTAATAAGTTATTAACTAAAAGTTAGCCAACATGAAGAATACTCATTAGGTAAACTAACAGTTACTTTAGACTTTTCTCAAGTTTCACCAAGTAATATTCTGTTTAACAATAGAAAAACATCATATGTGAACCAGAAATTCACAGTATTACAGTATGAATGAGCAGTCAAGGGCACCGTTAAATGGATATTGTTAATGCAGTTGGTATCTTCCAGATTGTGATGTTGATGATGATTCAGAGAAACCGGAAGTACCAATAGGAGATCTGTAGCTTGATCTCAGTGCATTATAACAAAGGATGACAGAAATATTGTTATTTCCGCAAGAAGCAACCCATTTCATAGTGCCTGATAGAGCCTAAATAAAGCGTCTATTGTTCCACCAAGACCTATATCAACTCAAACCATAATTGTTTATGAGAAGCTGATCTAATATCTTGTGCTCCTTTTAGACAACCTTCAGTAAAAATGTGTCACTGGCAACTCTGCAGATTACGGTGCAGCGACCAATTAGATGAGGATACAAATTTGAATGCTATTATGTATACGGACAAACCGTATACATAACATATTGTATTTATAGTGATCATAGCTACTGTAGAGTCTTCCAACAACATTTTGTGCTTTCTTTAATAAAATATACAGGTGGAAGTATGATGGTATGGCATCTCTCAGGAGGACGAACTCTACTCCTTATGGTGGAAGGTAATCTCATTGCAATTTGTTATGTTCAAAAAATTATAGAGGAGTACATTTCTCAAGCCAAGACCATAATTGGCACAGATTTCCATTTTCTTGACGACAAAATAAGAGAAAAGTTGCTCATAAATGTCTTGAAAATCTGGATATTTCACATCTGCTCCTTCCTGTATTATCTCCAGATCTCAATCACATTGAGAATAGGGCAAAGAGGTAGTGTGTAACAGAAGACATTACACAAATTATTATGTTTGACAAAATTCTTACAATTTGCAATCATAAAAATAAGATCACAAAAACTTTTAATTTTATTCTTTTTTTAAAACATTTTTTTAATATTTTCTGAGGTCAAATACAATCTTATTAGTATTAATTTTCAATAAATTCTATAATAATAATAAAAACAAATTCTAGGTAAAATAAATCATACATAACTTAACAGTATCCTTATTCATTTTTGAGCTATATATATTGTAAAAGATATAAGTATGGAGTATCCTAAATACCTTTGACAGAAATATAGTAATCTTTGGTGTCCTGCCCTTCAACATTTGCAGCAGTACATGTATATAATCCTTCAGAGGTATGGTCTGAGTTAAATAAAAGCAATATGTTATCATGAACAGCAACAGAGGAATCTGTAAAATTTTTGTTTAATTAATATAAAATAATCACATGATTAACACATATCCAAAAATGACAAGATAAATACCACTATAATTTTTATAAATAATATCTTTGTCTCCCTTTTTCCAACTTATCCTAGGTTCAGGTATTCCTTCTGCGTAACATGGGATTGACGAATCTTTCCCTTTTTGGATGGTTATTTGATGATCAAATTGATTAGTTATTTTTGGTTTCACTTAAAAATAAATAAACAAATTAATAATGGCATAGCCTACAGAAATGAAATAAAAAGCAATTTAACTATAATGATTCATCCTTACCATGAACATTAACTGTAAACTTTTTGTCTACCCAACCAGCAAAATTTTTAGCGACGCATGTGTAAGTACCAGTATGTTCTGTAGTCACATTGTTTAGTTCCAAAATTTCGTCTTTTACTTTGCTAAAAGTAATCATTTGAGTGGTTTTATGAACGGATTTTTGTTTATGAAATAAATTTCAATAATAATAATTCACAAAAATAATTCAATAAATATAGAAAATATCTTCAGAAATTTAAGGAAATGATCCTGATTCTTGCAGATGTTGACTATAAGTGGATCATAATAGAATGGTTTTACACAACAAAGTATATAAGCACACGTGTGAGGTGGCGAGTCTCTCATACCTACTTTATATAGATTGGATGACAGGTTATGGTAAGCATTAGAAGATTTAAAATATTTAATGACAGACTCCAATTGAAATTGACACTAGTGATCTCATTTTTTATGTAAATAAAAATAAAATACAATTTGGTATACCATTGTGTAAAAAATTGTGAATAGCAGTTTAATGTTGTTGAAACCCTTCTTACAATAATTGTTCTCAATAACAAAAATATGAGTTTTTCTTAAACAGTTATGCCTATTTTTCTATGAAAAGAGGACAACAAATTTATATTTTTTATCTTTCACTATTTCGTTTCAAAGTGCTTAATAGCAAGTATTACTTAAAACATTCTTATGGCACTGTATAACATAAAAAGTTTTGTAAAAATCATATTAGCCGTTTTCATAAGAAAAGTAACTAAAAAGGACATCATGAGTTATGTTATTTATAAAGGCCTTCGTACAACATTTTGTGATATGACTCTGATGTCAGAGCTGCCAGAGATATGTAAATATAAGAGAAAATCAGAAACCATTCTCTCTGGCAGATCTCTCTGTCATCAGCTTACGTATGATAGTTTTTAAGTATTTTTCCATCTGTAAAAACTTATATGTTACAAGAGATGTTAGTTATTAAGAAATAACCTTCATCTTACCTTAACAGCTTAAAATTACAGATTATGGAAAATACCGGTTTGTTATTGTGAATAATTTAACTGTAAAAAATAAAATATTAATTTTATATACTACTAAGATTCTAAAATAACAATCTAAAATAACACATTTTTTTTTCCTTTTCCATTGCTAGTTCTATTATTTGGTTTTTGTATTATTAAAAAGAAAGAAATGGCAATAACCAAGGCCAAATATTAAATGAAAAAAAATTACAATGGCCAATAACCTCATGACTTTTTTATTTGGGAGACATATTCCTATTAGTTATATCTGATTGAACTGGATATGATTCATATAGATTAATTAACCATTTGTCTCCTATCCTTCCCTCTCCTCAAACATTAAAATTACAGTAAAACAAATTTAAAAAAAATATATTCAAGGAAAACAAATCAATTCCAGATAAAATAAGCAAATTTTAACTTCAAACACGGAACATAACTATTGAAAAAGAAGAACATAAAAAATAACAAACTTCTAACAGAGAACTTACTCAGGTACCAATTTCAACTTAAGTTTCTAGAGAAATAAATATACAATAAATGAAGTGCCAGAGAAGGTTTTAAAATCTTAACATAGTAAATCAATTTAAAACTAGTCAGCAGAACAGTTTGTCATCAACTCTGACATGTGTTTACTTGGGCTGCTCTAATATCAGAGCTCTGGCAAAAAAAAAAAGCACTAGGGTGTGAGAAGGTTTTTAGATTAGTGATTATACAGAAGTATTGTATTTAAATAAGAAAAAACTATAAATTAACAAATTTCCTTTACTTACAATAAATAAGCATTTAATTCTCCAAGTTGGGTCTCATTGAAAAACCACAAAATGTCGGGTTCTGGAATTCCATCAGAGGGGCAGCCCAACGTAATACTATTACCTTTCAAGAGTGTAATTTTCTCATGTTTGTCGTTTCTTATCTTTGGTGGAACTGAATTATGAAATAAATACTGTAGAGAAAATCCATTAAAATATATTATTATATGGTGGTCTAGCAAAAGAAGATAAGTTAAATTTGCTTAATATTACAGGGGAGTAAATTTAAAATTTCTCTGACTTAGAGAAGATAGTGAAACTTTGATACTGTAGCATTCCAGTTTTCCCTCATTCATTAATTTCTCTTTAAATTGAGTTTGAATGAAAAACTCAGAGAAAATTATTATAATGAATCCAGTTTAGTTTAAAAAAAGCTAATTTGGCCACAAATATATTTTTTCCAATTGATCGTGAGTTAAATAATGTCATTGTTTGCATAAAAAAAACTCCTACTTACTTTGATAGCCAAAAATTTTTAAAATCTCAAAAATAGACAAGTCATGTTTTGCCAGACCACAACAGAATAAGTATCTTTATAATAAATTAAATAATTTTCACTCATACCAGAAACATCAATATGAATACTTGCAGAGCTTTCTCCTGCTGTATTTTTCACAACACAAGTATAATTACCACGATCCTTGTAATATACAGTCAGCCTAAATTAAGCATTACACTATATGAGAAGAGATTAATGAATAGAAAAATCCAACAAAAATCATTTAAATCATAATATAAAAACCTCAGTTTGGAATCATTATCAGAGGACAATATTCTATCATTTTGCTTCCAGTATATCTTTGGTCTAGGCTTCCCAGTTACATTACAAATGAACTCTACTTCTTCGCCTTCTTTCACCATACGACTACTGACAGTAAGTGAGGCAGTAGGTAGTTCTGTAACGTATAATATTTTTTATCATCTGTTACTAGGTTTTTAACTGACAACAATTGAATAATTAGTCCATTTTACCTAGAACATTAACCTCAACTGTTCTCCAAACTATGCCTGCCCGATTTTCAGCAGTACAATTATAGTATCCATCATCCTCAGGAACAGCATTTAAAATAGTTAGTTGACCTGATTCTGTATTAATAGTCCTACAAATAATTGACAACCATTATAACAATATTTTAATATTAACAGCCCTACTTTCTATTACGGCTGGTTCCCGCAGGAAGTTAGACCGTTACCCCCTTAATTAGGGGAGGCTTACAAGTTGAAACATATTTGTGGAAAAAAAAATACTAATTTAAAAATTAAAATTAAGATTACACATAAACTGATGATAAAAACAGAGAATTTTCAATGGTCTCATAGGCATATTAACAAAATGATTTCTAAAGGAAGATTAATAACCAAATGCTTTATTTTTTCATGTTCTGGTAAAGTATCCTTAATTTCCCATCCACCGGCGCCATAAGACAGTAAAAGAAATAAATGAAATATTTATGAGCATAAAATATAGCTTTTTTATTATTAAGTTATTTGTCTAAAAGTAAAAAAATAATAATTAAATTCAGTAATATTAGTATTCAATAAATATATTGTTAAAGAATATTATATGTTTTGAAATATAAACCAATTACCCTAAAATCTGAAACAAACATCATTGCCATTTTACAAAATCACAGTTGTATAAATATTTATGAGTATAAAACTTTAAAATAACTGTTGGTATGATTTAATGTTTCAGCTTCATTTTTATACTAACCTTCTACTATCATCAGCCAGAATTATTTCATTTCTGTTCCAGCCCATGACAGGTTTTGGATCACCGAAGGCAATGCAAGGAATATCAATATTCCTTCCTTTCAGGACATCAACTGAGAATGGAAGGTGCTTAGCAAAACTTGGAGGATCTTAGAAAAAAAAAATCATTAAAAACTTAATATTACATAGAAAATGGTGAAAATGTTCGAGAAGTTAGTTGAGGGTTTCAGTCACAGTGAGCAACACAAAAAAATTATTTTGTTTAGCACAAATATTTCTTGATGTTTTTTTTTTTTTCGAAAATGATTATAGACAATGACAAATTGAAAGAACTTAGTTTATTTCCTTGATAGTATTAATGAACAGATGACCAAAAAGTAGAATATAAATAGAATAATGTAAGATCAATAGTATAGAAATTTTGAAAAAAACTAGATCATACATAGTTCGAATTTAACTTTTCAAATACATGCCCTCATGGCAGCCATGTCATTTGCTTGCCATTAAAACAATAATGTAATACATTTTAAATATTGAGTAAATTACCTAATATAACTAATGGGAAATCCTTAGAATCCATTCCAGCTTCATTTCTGGCCTCACAGGTATAAATCCCTTGATTTTGTCTTTGAACAATAAATCTAAAATAAAATAAATAATAATGAAATTCAAGTAAAAAGCAAAAAGAGAAGTTGAATTAAAATTTTATCTGAAAAAAAATATATTCTCACTGGTGTGCATATGTGGTAAGTATAAAATATAAGCAATAGCTTTTTAATTAATACATTATAAAAATGACTAAATTTTTTAAATTAAAATCATTGTTATTCCTTACCCTAAAGTTTTTTTATCTCTTATTAAATTTAAAGGTAATGGTTCTTTGTCTTTGAACCATGAAACACTAGCTTCAGGATTGGCAAAAGTTTGACAGGTAATATTGACAAACTCGCCAATGATTACTTTCATGGGTTCTGTCCATGGCACAATCTTAGGTGGTGCTGAAGCATAAAATAAATCCTTGTGAGTATTAAGATAAAATGAATAATCAATTACTAAATTATTAACACCATACTTAGTACAACCAGTTCCATTTTTTTCTTATTTTCTCCAGCTTTATTTTGGGCAACACAAATGTAAGTTCCAGCATCAGCTTCTGTCACATTTGGCAAATATAGAGTAGCTGGTTCACTAATAGTAGTAGAAATAGACAAACAAAAAAGTTATATAAAGTAATTTGTATTGATAGATGAGTAGACTAGTAGATTATATAAATGTAGTAATGTCAAACACATTCAACTCCATAAAGGAAACTAAAAAAAAGCACAAGTATTAGGTTAATTTATGTAATGCAGTAACTTCATACAACTAACTACCTTCCAATTTGTTTCTTAATAAGTTCTCCATTGAAATGCCATGTAACAGATGGCTGTGGATTTCCAAAAACATCACAAGGTAAAACTGCTTCATTTCCACTAATCGCTTTGATAACAGTGTTTCCTGTTGTGTTTTTTATTTGAGGTGGAACTAAAAAAAAAACATGCAAATAAAAAACTTAAAGCTTTAAGAATATTTAAAAATAATACAGAGTATATATATATATATATATATATATATATATATATATATATATTTATATATATATATTTTTTTTTTTTTAAATTGTCTACTTACCTAAAACAATCAGGTTAGTTTCAACTTTGTCCTTGCCTGCTCTGTTTTCAGCAATACAACTATAAGTTCCTGAATCAGATGGTTCAGCTAAAAACCTAAAATTACAAATAAAATATAGAGATAAAAATCAAATTATGCTAATATTTAACAACAAACTCATATTACCTCACAAATTGGCCATAAGATTTACTTCTCGGAATTGTAACGTTGTTTTTAAACAAATGTAATGAAGGTCGTGGAATAGCTCGAACTCTGCACTCCAAAGTTACAATATTTCCTACTTCAACAAAAGTTTCAATAGGCCATGGAATAATTTTGGGTGGAACTACAAAACAGAAAATAGTTCATACCTTTATTTATTTTTAAACAAATTATTTATAAAATTAACTAATACAATCTTATTAACTGACTCATTACAGAAAGACCAAAAGTTCGTCTAGCAATGCCAGCAATATTTTCAGCTTGACAAATGTATCTTCCACTATCTTCTTCTGAGACGGTATCAAAAACTAATGCATTCACATCTTCTGAATGAATGCTGAAATAAAAAAAAAATAATTTAAATTTATTTCAACATCATAATAATATATTAAATTTATTATAAATTGAATTTACTTTAAATAGAATCACTTCATAAAATTTACACTATTAAACTATAACAAAGTCATAACTTTATTTAAAAGAGTCCGTTTAAAGGAAAACCACAACAACAAAACATATCAACATCAAAAAGTCTTTCAAACAAAAAAATAATAAATACCCTCTCATTGTCTTGTTATTGGAGAAAATGTGTCTCTTCCAAGTAACTTTTGGTGGGGGGTCTCCATATACCTTACAAAGGAGTTTAGCAGATTTCCCAACAGTTGCAACTATGTTAGAAGAAATGTTCAAATCGATAGTTGGTGCCTCTAAAATATAAATGGTGTAAACATTAATAAACATCCAATAAAACAACAGTAAAAATGTATTGTATTCCATATCTACTAAAATCATAGAATTATCTTTGGAATTATTTTTAAATGATAGAACTCAATTTGTCTGCTTACCATAGAACTTGAGGTCAATTTTCTTAATATCAGAACCTATTTCATTTTTTGCTATGCATTCATACAAACCAATGTCTGAAGAACTCACAGAACTCATAAAATAGGATCCATTTTCCTGAAAATAACAACAGATGTTAAATTACTAGACAGAAATAAATAAAGAATATTTATTTTATTGTAAGTAAAATATAAAATAATTATCAGCTAATTATACTAGATCAAATTTAGCAAGGGAATCAAACTAAATAAATCGACAAATAATTAAACAAAGAATTCTACCATTGAACACAAAACTTAATTCTTCAAATTAATTATAAATATTTAAAAAACTTCACTTTAATACGTCCTTATTACTCAGAAATTCTGTAATATCAATAAACCAAAAATTGGAATTCTGTATTCGTTGATCAGTTTTGATACCCTTTTATAAAGAAAACTAATTATTGAACTTCTTCTTCTTTGTCCACCTCTTAATACAATTCCTAATTATTGAGAAGCCTCAATCTAATGCAGCAATGCCTCTTGGTTCAGGCTAAGCTGTCTCATTTCTTGAAAGATTTTTCCTCTCTTCCCTCCTATTTACTGTAAATACTCTTGGTAGGGAATTCCAGGTTCACTCTCATCCTCCATTCAGCAAACATAAACAAATCACTTCAGCTGTCGATATTTGATAATTATTGAACTCAAATATGTAATTTTTCAAATGTACATACATTTATACAAGTATATCAAATGTACACTTTAAGTGATTCTTTGTTAGTATTATCTTTTCCTAAGCTAGTCCTCATGTTTAGGCTACACAAGGGTTTTTCTGGGCCAGGAGGTGAGGGCGGGGAATTCGAAAGACCCCCCAGGCACCTGGAGCGAACTCGTAATTTTATTGTCTCCAAACTTTGGTTATCAGGTTGTTAGACAACGAGCGGTGCTATGCACACATATCAACCTGTTCGGCCACCCCACCTCATGTACTTAGTTTTTTTTTTCTTCAGCAAAATATCCTGTAAAGGAATGAGAGTCTTATAATTAAATCCTAAAAATAAGCATAACCAAGTATCATCCTGTTTTAAGTGGTACCATCAATTTCTATGGTACCTTTTTTTGGCCTCACTGTCCCGTATGCACTTTGGAAAGCTATAAAACTGTACCACTAAAATCCATGAAGGGTCTCGAGTTTAGAGCTTGGTAAAAAACTGTAGCTTTTTGACTAACGGCACTGCCCTCCTGGCAAGCAGGTGGTCTAGCCAGGATTGTGTTCAACTGTGAAGTTTTCCCTCAATCAATTAAAGGATCAAATATTCAATTTACATAAGCTGGGTTTGGTTAATGGCTGACATAACATGAATGATTTATCTACTACTTCCTGACTAGAACCTGAGCCCAGGTATTAAGGTAATGCCTTGTCTTATATATTGAGCTAGCCAACTTCCTCAGAATTCGATAAAAAGAAAAATAGGAACGTTATTTATATGGCAAAGTATGAGCAAACATATTTCAACAAAAAAGATTACATATGATTACTTGCAAAGTTTTCACCAGTGGTGTGAAATATACTAATTAATGCATAAAATATAATATACTAGTTAATGTATAAAAAATAGAGGAGTAAGCCATTCTATCAATCTGCTACTCAAGATGACAAAAAGCAAACAAGCACTGTCCTTTTAAACCTTAGGTAAAGGACTTGTAACATTAGCAGTACAACTAGGCCTTAAATACTTACCGTATTGATTTATTATTTGAAAAATTTCAAGAATAATAATTATACAATATAAAAGTCACTTATACAATTGTAAATACATAGACTACTCAGAAAATCTGTATGATTTGATAGCTTCTCAATCACGTCTGTTTTTTAAGGTGGGTTAATATGGTTCAGTAAAATAATTTTATGGTCCTAAAATCTTGATTCAAATAATTACCAATTTTATTCCAGTAGTCGGTTGTTTAGACAGCGAAATTCCATCTTTATACCATTCTTTTGTAGGCATAGGTTTCCCACCTAAAGTGAGACACTGAAGTTCAACTTTATCTCCAGTTAATACTTTTTTTACTTCAAGGTCTTTGTCTTTATCCAAAATCGGAACAACTGAAATTAAAATCAACTTGAAAATTACTGGGATAATATTTCACTATTAAGTAAATGCTCTTAGTAAAACTGATCACCTACCACCACCTGTAATGCTGACCAATGCTTCTGATTCTACTTGACCTAAAATATTCTCTGCTATGCATGTATATACACCAGCGTCAGAAAGGGAAGCATCTGTATTCAAGTAATTTTAATTAATACAAATATTAGCCCTTATTCAAATTTATTTTATTAAAAAAATATGTAGAATAATGTTTAATGAGTATAATTATATTCATTTCATAAGTAATTTTAATTTTTAAGTCTCTCAGTTTACGTTGATATTACTAATTCCTCCTTTACAATTGAATTTTGTTTACATATTTTGTTTATTATAGCATTACATACCTATCTATTTATCATGTTTTCGTTGGAGAAAGTCAGTTATTGTGTGCTAAAATTTAAAATGGATCTTCCCAAAAAAACACTTATGCCATGTTAAGCTTTGTGAATTTGATAAAACAGAAAATGCTGCATTAACTTATTGGAAACTTGCAGAAATATACGGAGAAAACATCATTAGTGAACGACAGTTGTCCTGGAAAAACACTGAAAACAGAAGCGAAAGAAGAACATCGTCTAAAAAAAGTAATGGTGTCTGTTTTGGTGAGATATGGAAAGAATCCTTCACCCTGAATTAACCAAACTATCACATTACTGTTACCAGCTGGGCCAATTGAAGCGAGAAATCGAGGAAAAATGTCCCTCACTTATCAATAGATGAGATGTTTTATTCCACCATGACAGTGCGAATACTTGAGTAGCATGACTCAAGGAATGAAGCTCAACCTTTCCACTCTAGTTAGAATGGTTTGGTTGTACCTCCTCTCTCCTCTAGGCCAGAAATGGCAAAGTAGGGATATCAAGAAAAAAAAAGAAAAATGTGAGATTCCAGGTTGCAAAAACAAACATTGCAAAAATTGGAGGACTTTTGGTGGAATTCTTATATATTCTTCCAATATAGCTCTTCAGATAAAAAAAAAAATCTTACGATCAAATTAGTCTACTACTATACTTGAGTTTTTTAAATTATTCAAAATTTAATTACTATTGATTTCGAGAATGTTTTCTTCCCAACGATCTTTGTTCAATAATTCACTTTTCTTTTTCCAAACGATTTTCGGTTTTGGAGTTCCAAGAGCAACACAGCTTAGTCGACCATTTTCTCCTAGTTCGATCGGTGTATCTAAGATAAACAGGTTATTTTAAATTATGAAATTAAAAATAAACAAAACTTTAAGAATAAAACAGAAAAAACATTTACTTACCAACTGGGGCTTCTATGATCTTAGGATAAACCCCTGTAACTGATACAATAATTGAATCTTCACTGTACCCAATACTGCTTTGAGCAGCACAACTGTAAACTCCGCTGTCTGATAACTCAGCATTGTATATTAATAAACTTTTGTCAAGTAATAACTAAAAGAAAAATGAAAAGAATAAAATTTATAAATTATTTCAGTAAAGGAATTTAAAATTACAGGAAGGTGAAAATACTAATTATTAATATTAATAACTATTGTGATAAAACCTATTTATAAAGATCTACAAATTAATGACAGATCTTTTTGATATAGGGTTATTTTTGAACTTGATAACAATTGATAAGATACAAAAAGATATAATGATGTATATATAGCTCTAGTATATTTACAAAACTTAATAAAATTAAAGTTTATAGTTTTGCACTTGAAAACTCTTTTACTGTACTTGTAATCAATAAGTTAATATTAACTAAACAAATTTATGAGAAGAGCTACTTTGACGATCCTATTCCTTTTCTACATGGTAGAACCACCAGTATAAAATGAGGGTTCTCCAACAACAGAACAGTTTTGTACTCGTTTACCACTACATTAGGGACTAGACTTAAAACTATACGTCTATTTTAAAAATATTATTGTATATAATAAGTATACATAATAAATTTGTCTTATGCTAATAAAATTATTGAATTTTAGCGCAATAATGAACTTATTATTATTTATTACTTTAAGGTAGCAGTGAAAAACAGAGAAGAATGACGATCTATGATAGAACAGACTTTGACTCAACAACTTGATCCTAACACCAGTTAATAATAAATAACTTATTATAATCTAGTCAAATTAAATCAAGTTACTTTTTATCATATTGTACAAGTAATTAAAATAAAATAGTGTTATACTAATTTTGAAGTTATAGAGAGATAGTTATAAATCACATATTGATAAATATCTAAGTTGCTTATTACTTGAATGTTTGGAGAAGAAATTGAGCTTATTATCTTGCCATTTTTATTCCAAATCAGATCTGGTAATGGTCTTCCAGAAACCATACATTTTAAGGTACAATTACCTCCATAGATAGTGTTACATGCCTTCATAGTAGCAATTGCTTTAGGTTTTTCTTCATAGACTAACTGCAATTCTTTGACATCTGAAAAATAATTTTTAATTTATAAAGTTCCTAGTTAGGAAGTGCTAAATTATATTGTATATGCATGGTTTTATTTAACATTACTGCAAGTAGTTTTTTAATATATTGAATTAAGGCAACTTTTCACTTTTTCAAGTTCTATAAGAATGCTAATTCAAACCTTGCTAATCTAAACATTTTATAATCAAAATAACCTCTAAATTTCAAGTAAGAAATAAAGCCAGGATTTAAAGCAAATAAAATATGGCAGTACCTTTAGATTCAATAAAATTTTAAAGATACCTACATTTTGTAGGCCTTCAAACAAAAATTCTGATACCTAAATTTTGTAGGGCTTTATTAAACCACAGATTTATACGGGAAAAAACTTTAACTTTTATTTTAAAAAAGTTTCAGTATCATCAAATTTTTATTGTCTATGGTTTTTTTAGTTCTTTTAGAACTTTTCCCTTACAACTTTTCAAGTAAAGGTTTTACAGAATTTTTATTTTTATAAAACTTTTATTTAAAAGTTCTGTCGACTTTGCTAAAAAGTTTCTAACAATATTATTCCTTACAACTTTTATTTTAAGAACTTTTTCCCTAAAAAGATTTCATGGAAATTGTTAAAATGGAACATTTTTCCTAAAAAATTCCACAGAAACTTTTACAATGAAACTTTTTAAAAAAGTTCCACAAAAGCTTCAACTTCTGCTTTAAATAAAAGTTTAAAAAATGTCTAAATCTTTAAAGGCTTTAAAAAAAAAATTACTTTAAAATGTTAAATAATAGGGTGTTTAAAAAAATGACCGTTTTCAACAAAATATTTGTATTATTATTTCTTTGATATGAAATACGATTAATAATCAAAGTACAGTACATTGTCATCTACCGTCATTAGTCATCTGCTAGCCAATTGCTCGATCCCACACTGATATCATACTTTGGGATAACTATCAAAGAACTCTTGGACCACAATTTCAACTTCCGCCAACTTATCAAATTGTTTCCCTTAAAGAAAATAGACCATGAATCCAAATAAGTAGTAATCCGATGGTGCGAGTTCTGGACTATATGGTGGATGAGGCAGGAGTTTTCAATAAATTTTCACAAATTTCTAACCCCTTAGCCGATTGCTGAGGAGTAAGTTCGTGAGGGACCATTCTTCTGCTCTTTTTCACCTTCTTCATGGAGAATAGATGGCGACTAACAGTATCTATCGACACACCGCATTTCCTGGCAGGTTCGCAGATACTTGTGGACGGGTTTGACTCATCAGCTTCCGGGAGAACCTCATCAATATCCATTAATGGTCGCCTGGGGCCGTTCTTCCTTTCCAAAATATTTACAGTCCTTGGAAATCTTTAATTTGATTAAACGGTCATTTTTTTTTATGCACCCTATTAATTTAAGACTAAGGAGGAGGAACCTAGGATGTCAACTATAGCTAGTTCAACTGGACACTTAATTATATTAATGCCTTACTAAATTTTGTTTTAAATATTTTTTCCTACTATTTATTACCCATATGTTTCTTATAACTGTAAGTAATGATAACCAACCATAACTGTCGAAGAGTTTTTTTTTTTAAGAGTCCATTAGTTTTCAACAGTGGCCAACGACAAAAAAAATAAAAAAAGTAATAGGATACCAAATTATTAATCTTTGGTCAAATCTGAAAATCTGGTAATTTAATAATTATATTTTTTATCATTTAAAACTAGATTTTTTAAATTTATTTAATGAATAGAATATTATATTTAAAAAAAAAAAACCTTGGCCAGCAAAATTAATTCCTGAACATTCATAATTTCCTTCATCATCTGCATGAGCATCTATAATATCGATTCTACTGTATTTCTCCATATTAATAATAAATATCCTTCCATTTTCTCCCTGAAATAGAACAATTACGAATGAGTTTAAATCCTGAAGTTAATAACATGTTAAATTAAACCTAATAAATAACAAAATGGTTACTCTTTAACAATATTCTGTATCATAAACACCACAACATTTCCCACATACAGGATAGTACACAACAATATCTAAAGATATTGTCCACAAAGAGAAACAAAACAAATAAAAGATAGATAATTAAATATATAATTTCTAACAAAGTATATTAAGCAGTTTTCCAAATCGCAATCCCCATGATGTTTTTTAATAATTTTTACTTGCTTATTTTTTTTTCTCACATTTATTAAGATATAATAATAATAAAAAAAAAAATAGTGTACCACTACAGTCCATGAAGGATCTTGGGTTCAGTAATATTTAGGGAAACTACTGTTTCAAGGCCAACGGTTACGCAGGGAGGAAGGAGATCTGGCCAGGATTACGCTCAACCACCAGGTTTCTCCCCTTAATTAATTATTTTAATTAAGGGTACCACTTTGTAGAGGCTGGGTGGGCTCCAGGAGGGTCTCCTTACCCTATGGTGGCCCAACGGCCAATGAAACAGAATAAATAATTTTTCTGCCATGAGCCGGGATTCGAACCTGGGACCTTGAGCCCTGACACCAAGTTACTCCACTCCTTAAAATAATAGTAATAAAGTAAAAATAAATAGCAAAATACCCACATTAAACTCGACTCCATTTTTTCTCCATTTCAGCTGTGGCGCAGGTATTCCTCTAATAGCTGAGCAAGTAAGAGTTAAATTAAAATGTTCATAAAACCTTCTTAATCCAGAAACTTCAATGGATGGTGACATGCTTAGTTTCAGATAGGTTGTTCCAACAGAGTCACCTCCTGTAGGAAAAAATACTAAATAATAATATGAAAACATTTGTGGCCAACTATTTACTATATATTGAGAAATTATATTTGTCTTATGTTAATTTTTTATTAATTATACCCTTAATTTTTTTTTAGGTCTCCTCCACTTGTTCATGATGATAACAACTTTCCTCTTGGAGAAAACTTTGTAGGACCTCATTAAATTTTTCTTTGTATTCCTGTTGTTTCAGTAATTCACTATGATATCTAATTGCTTTTTCATCTTTTCTGTTGGTCTTTCTAGCAAGTTTTTGCCGGTATAAGATTCTAACTAAAAAGTGATCCGAATTTGCATCTGCTCCATGATAAATTCTCACATCATCTATATCTGAGGCATGCCTTGAATCAATAAGGACTAGGTCAACTTGATTTTTTTGTTTTCCCATCCGGAGATATCCATGTCTCTTTATGAATATTTTTATGAGGAAAACGGGTACTACTTATAACCATTTCTTTTTCAGTTGCAAAATCAACTATTTGAATATCATTATCATTTGAGAGGTCGTGTTTTCTATGTTCTCCAATTGTGGGACTGAAAATTTCCTCATTACCAATTTTGGTGTTTAGATCTCCCATAATTATCTTTACATCATGTCTTGGTAATGAGTCATATTCTTGTGAGAGAGCTTCATAAAACATATCTTTATCCTCTTCCTCGCTATCTTCTGTCTGTGCATGTAAACTTATTATCGAAGTATTCTAAAATCTCCTTTTCAAACGAACAGAACAAATTCTTTCGTTCATTGTTTTATAATTTAAGATCAGATACTTCAGCGTCTTTCTTAACATAAATCCAGTACCTAAAATATTTTGATCCTGGTCACTGTTTATAATTGTGTAATTTCTTAAATCCACCATCTCCGTTTTTTTTTGCACTTTATTTCTTGTAGGGCTATTACATTCACACCGTAATTCTGTAATACCTCTTCTAAATTTCTACTTTCTCCTGCTTGGGCTAATCCTCTTACGTTCCATGTCGCTAAAGTTATCTGTTTCAAATATTCTGTGACACACCTAGGTCGTTCTCTGAAAATTGTCTGACTTCTTATAGTGTTTGGATTCGTAAGATAATTTTTTTTCAGGCATAGAGTTGTTTAGCACCAACCTGGAGGATCAGGTCATTTAATATCAGAGTATTCCTCTCCTAGGCCAGTTGGTTTCGCCACACCTTAATGAGCTTGGCCTGCCCATTGTTTTATATCAGAGTTTCCTTCTCTTAGATGAGCTGCCTTCACTTTGGCTATAGGACCCATCTCCCCAAGTTGCAGTTTTATGTCTTGCCCAGGACAAATACTACCACTTATATAAATTTAATATAAGTAAAAGATCATTTGACTAATGTTTTATAATATAAAATGAAAAATTTCATTAAAATAAAGAAAGAAAATTTAAAAAAATTAATTGAAAGTAAAAATATGAAGAAAAATATAAAAAAGAAAAAAGTAAAATAAAATACCTATACTTGAAGCTGTACACTGATACCATCCTTCATCAGTGGCTTTCGGATTATGGATCATGAGACCTTTATCGGTATTCTGAATATTGGTTGAATTATATACTTCAGTCCACCTTGAACTAGTCCCTAAATAATGGATATAAATTCTTAGTTCTAGGACAATTTTTAACTAAAAAGGACATAATATTTAAGAAAAGAGAAAAAAAAAATTCTTAAATGTAAACAGTATTACCTTTCTTCCAGTTTATTGTATACGGATGAATACTATAAATAATACAAGGTATTAGAACTCTGTTTCGAAGAGTAAATAAAACTTCCTCTTTCACTGATACAACAGGAGGTTTTGCTATAAAAAATAAAAATGATTAAGGAAAGAAATTACTATGAATCAATAAAACTAACTACACATACTTAAATATAATTAAGTTTAATAAATTTATAAATAAAAATCTATAAACACTGCCTACAAGGGCACAGCTAGAAAGACCTCTAATAGAGAGTGACTTTCCTCATCTAATGATCAGAGAGAAATGACCACACTAAAGGGTCCTTGTCCACCACACTAATGCAGGAAATATTTGGCATAAGAAGAAGAGGAAGACCAAGGTTACAGTGAATGGATGGTATAGCTGTGGATGCCCGATCTATGCTTGAGGTCCAAAACTGGAAGGTGGTTGCGCAGTACAGGAACGACTGGGGGTCAAAGCTGCAAGAGGCCTTGTCTACATAGAGGACGCAGTGTTACATAAGAAGAAGAAGAAGGAAAGGTCCTTATGCACAGGCGGAAGAAACTAATACAATAACACAATACAGAAGATGCTCATCTAGCATAATCCAATCGATTATTATTGGTGGGAAAATATGATCCAAATGTGGGCCTGTTGCTTCTTTATAAACAAATTCAAATAAAAGATACCATTTCAAAGGACTTTTTGATTCAAATAATTATCTCTTATACATCAGCAATAATTTTTTTTTTTTTATTATTAATAGGATAACAATTCATTTCTGAGTAAGTCATAACTTGGCTTTTAGATACTTCAATCCATTCCTAATAATTTCCAGGTAAGAATGGTGATTTCATATAGTCAAGTTAAATATTCCTTGAAATGGTACTACTACTAACACCAATAATATACAAGAAAAAGCGGCATTCTTTGAAAACAGTGTTTAAAATTCCAGATTACCTCTGTCACTCTTCATATTTCTTATTAACACATTTACAACTGTGAAAAATTATCAGTAAAATTAAAATATGTTATGGCAGGTATGAAGGGAGGGAAAACCTATCTATATCTTCTTTTTTTTTAAATGAGATTAATGAATACTAATCCATCATGTGGATCCAATCCAGCCAGGTCATGTACAAATTTATTTTCAAGCTATACATACATGTAAGCGAATTCCTTAATTAAAGTACTGATTAACTAACTGATTAACTAGAATTAAAGTACTGATGTACTATTGTGATATTGATAAATCACAGTTAATAAGCCTCTTGAAGATGACAAAGTTTCTAAAAATATCTCTCCCATAGTGATACCACATGTAATTCTAAAAAAATTAAAATATTGTAGAATATTTGGAAAGCAGACAAGAAAAGGACTAGACCAATGTCAATCCATAGAAATATATATTAAAACATGTTATCTTAAAGATAAGAATACTTGAAAAAAAATTAAAATTAAGAGACAAAACAAATATTTATTTTTAATACCTACCCTTAATATTAACTTTTATTTCCTTCAATTTACTTCCCGCTACATTACTTGCCGCACATATGTAGACACCCTCATCCTTAATAGATATGTTTCTTATTTCAAAGTAAACATCTCCTGTCTGCCTTTAAAAGAAAAAAAAAACATTATAGTTATATAACATAACTTTTTAAAACAATTAATAAATTAATAATAATTAAAAAAGTGCATAAAATTGTAAAATTACATAAAACTATATAATACTTTTAAGTAATTATGAAATATTAATAGCCTTAATAAAGCACACTGGAGTTATAGCAATTTCTGTTTTGTAAAAGAAGTGACTCACTTCATATTTTGAACTTTTTGTACTTGAGGATCATTTTTTTTATACATTTTCACAGTTGTAGGAACCAAAGATTCAACACGACATTTGATGATATAAGTTGTACCTTCATTGATTGTGTTTTCTCTCGGTAATGTCACATATGGTAGTTCTGTAAAAATGATTTTTAAGTATTTTAAAATGTATTGAAAAAAACATATTGGCAGAGGATCAACAAAAAATTACAAGAACATCAACAAGAAATAAATGGCCAAAAATAGACAGATATTTTATGGAATTATAGGAAGATGAATTAAATATACTTAAACATCTTTATTAGTTTTATACCACACCTATCAATATTTTTCTAGTTATAATAATAATATTTACTATTTTAAAATAATTTTTTTTCTCTTCATACTTCTATCCACATCTGTCATAATCTTGACAATAGGCAGATGTGATCTCATTGTATAGAAAATTGGCATTTAAGGCATGAGGAAGATTAGTACCCAGCAGTACCTCTTTCTGGTCTTGGTTCACTTCATAATTTAGGAAAGGAGATCTCTTATCCAGCTCTTCTTTAGTCGTCTCCTGATGGGCATGTCAGCTGTGGCCATGTCATTGATAAGTCTGTTGTGATGTCCGTGTAGTTTAAGATGAAATCAGAAGTAGAGAGTATGTATGTGTTGGTCGATAGTCAGTTGTTGTAAGTCGGTATGTAAATTTTTATTAAATAATTAAAATTTCCAAATAGGAGCTTTGAAAAACTATTACAATTTGTAAAAATAATTATCATAAATTGTTCCACTATTCACACCGAAATTTAAGAGTTACTTTCCCTAGTATTTGTCATATTTTTAAGAAATATAATTGAGTTTCAGGAAAGATAGTAACTTCAAACTTTGGAAGGTGAAAATTTATTCATTATCTGCTCATGTTTAATTTATTAGTAGAAACTGAATTTATTTAGTAACAAAAAAAAAAAAAAATCAAACACAAAAATATTGTAACATTTTCTTAAATAGTTTCTTAAATTATAAGAATTTGGAAGATATAATCAATTAAGATTTCAATATGTTCTAATAAAGTTCATTACCTGGAAGTTGAGGTAAAATAGCATTAGGTGAAATTCTTTTCAAAGGAGAACCATCTGTAGCATAGCCATTTATCTATGAACAAAATTATCGAGATATAAAAAACTATTTATAATTACAACTAATTGTTAGTGTTATTGGTATTGAATTTAATTGGGCCATAACAACCTTCAAACGAAAGCATTATTAAGCTTTAATTTTCAGTATGTGCCATTTGGTCAAAGTGTATACAACATAGTGTTTTTGTCAACTTTTGTACCAATGGAAACTTTATTTTTCTGACCCCATCAAAATAAAAAAAGTCATTGATTGCTGTATGAAGCTTATTGGGAACATGCTCCATCAAATTGCAATTTAAATTACTAATTTAAACAATCCAAAAGTGGTGATACCGAGTTGGAGTCAAGATTGAACAAAAATTAGTGTCAAATGCAAGAAAAACTGATAGAATCGAAAGTTCAAAAAGAAAGGAAATTGAGTTCTAAAAAAATTCAGCCAAAACATGAAAAGGAGATTTTCCATTGTTTCAAAAACTTGAAAACATACAAAAGGGTTATCTAACCCCACCTGCCATGTTCACCTTACATGGCTCCTTTCAAATACTACTTTTGAACAATGGGTCATGACCTAGCTGAGCAGCACTTTCGTACTTACAAGGAATACAAAAAATGGTTAAATTCTCAGATAGTAACTTAAGACCAGCCATCAAAACTGAAGTCATAAACTGCCAGAAATATAGAAAAAAATTAGTAACTAGCAATAACAATACTTACACTAATCAATTTGTTACATAATATTTTTGCACAATATCCCCTATTGTCACAAACAATTCCATTAAAACTTTTTTGTAACAATATTTTAAACTATAAGGCTATAAAAACCAAATCATTAATCTCATGTCTTAATTTATTCATTAATTTTGTTTAATTGACCGACATATTACTATTTGTAATATAAATGATTTTCCAATAGAGGATTCAAAAGAAAAAGTAAACATGAAAAAGACTAAAGGATTAGAATAATCCTTCAAAATTATTTATACCTTATTTATTTCAAAAAGTAAAATAAATAAATAATAATAATTTATATTTTAGAAAATTAAGTTTATAATACCTCCATATTAAAATTTTCATCAGGAGGCAAAAAGGGTCCACCATAATAAAGTGTGTTTGTGGTTTCATCTTTTTTCAAAGGTATAGTGACCAAAAAATTTCCATTTAAATCTACTAGATCTACATGAGTAATATTTCTGACTAATTCTGGATCAGAGGCTTCAATGAGTATATAATTCTCAGCACCTGAAAAACATATGTACATTAAAGTTATGACAATTCCAAGGCACTATATATATATATATATTGGGTTGAGGAAAAAGTAATTTAGTTCTTAGCAAATTTATTTATCTAAATTTTAAACACTAACCAACGATATATGTGCCATTTTGATCGATGACCTTTTGCCATATTTCTGGTAAAGCGATAAATACAACATTGAAGAAGTTCTGAGATTTCTGGGCAAAAAACTGAACCAAATGATTTTCACAATCCTCTTTTGATTCCAGCTTTACACCATTCATAGAGTTCTGTAGAGATCAAAATAAATGGTAGCCAGACGTGGTATATGGTGGATGCATCAAAACTTCCTCCGAGCCAAGCTCTCTCAGTCTTAGACGTGTCATTAAAGATGTGTGTGGTCTACTAGCGTTGTCGTGAAGGAAGACGCCTTCCCTATTGATCAATGCTGGCCATTGTTTATAATTGCCTGCTTTAATTGCAGTTGTTCAGTTGTTCACAGTAGAGAGTTGAATTAATGGTTTAACCAGGTTCGAGCAGCTCATGATGAACAATTCCTTACCAATTCCAACAAACACTCAGCATCACCTTCCTTGGCCTCAATCCAAGCTTTGCCACTGCAATGATTCTCTGGGCTTTAATCACGATCTTGTTTGCAAATTATTGTCATAAGTAATATACGTTTCGTCATTCATAATCATTTGTTTAAAAAATGGCTGGATTTCATTACATTTCAGCAGAGATTCTCAAATAGAAACTTGGTCCATTAAATTTTCCATCGTTAGTTCATGCGGAACCCAAGCATCAAGCTTCTTTTGGTAAGTATCGGTTCCTTAAGTATTGGTTCAAAACTGTTCTGATCAATATTTAGTTCCGCAGTGATTTAAAGAGATGAAGTGTTGACCAGTCGGCTGGCAGGGACTACATATCTCAGGATGCAAGGCCTACCACGTTGTGGTCTTCCAAGAATGTGAAGAGGCGAAACAGAAGAAAGGTGAAAATCCAATTTCTGTCTAATACACCTGAAGTTACGAGGCCACCGGGTGTTGGAAGGACCCTACCAAGCCCGACTGATGCGGCAAGGTTGCTCGAAAGGGAAGCTTCTGAGCAGTAATCTAAGACAATGGAGTTTCCCCAACGGCAGGCAAACAACAGGTCTACTTTGTTGGAGGAGAAAGATACAAAACTATATTCGGCAGCAGTAAAGGTGCCGCCCACCCCAAAGATTAGTAGCTAAGACTGCGGAGTCCCAAAGACAGGCACCCAAGTTTTAAGCTTTAAAAAGTTCCATGAACTGTCCTGATTATTGGGCTATTAGTAAGCAATTGGAGGTCCAAATATTGTTTAGGGACTAAAACTTTATGGTGTACTTTATTAAAATTCTTCATGAATGAATGGGATAAGGGTTAAAGGTAACTTTTAAGTTTTGGATTAAAACAAATATTTATCAGGCTGAAGGCCTCCTAATTATTTCATGCCTATGAAAAAAGTGAAGATAATGAGGACTGTTGCTGACAAGCAATGTTCATCTTTAAAAGGGGTTTAATATATCTAACCAAAGGATTGATATAAATCAGTAGTGGATGAGAATCCATTATGATTGCTGAGAATCAGTTCAGGCAAAATCAACATATTAACTGAATTATATGGCACTAATACTTACTTTTTAGTGGTCGATGAGAAGTTTCAGAAGATTTGTTTGTTGGTATAACTGAAAAACCTACCCCAAGTTGAACTTTACTAATACCATATGAAGAAAATGAATGAACTGAAGAGCTGCCAACAGTTGCTTTCCAGACACCTGCTATTGGCTCCTTACAAAAAAAAAAAAAATAAATAAAAAATGTAAATGAAAAACAATAATTAATTCATATTTAATGCTTGGTAAAAGAAATAACATTGAATTTATTTATCTACATCATAGTATTTATGATTCATTTTATTAAAATACTTTGAATAGAATCTTTAGATGTAATTAAAAATAAAACAACTACAAACAATACTCTCCTAACATTTTCTCAGATCACTTGTATCAAAATTCGGTACTTGTGAGTTAGCCGGTCGTCACGGACTGCTATCTGCCATTTTTTATAACTTGAAAACTGATAATTCTGATACTGATAATACCTACATTCTTATTCATAATTATGGAAATTAAAATAGACAAAAATGAATGTAATGATAACAAAACAATTTTATTTTACAACATTTTAATAGAATTGTTGCTTTTCTGTCTTTTACTTTTAAAATGAAACACTCGTCAGTTTCTCGACAAACTCCGTCAAACATCCATTGTTTAGGGTACACACTTCCTACATGATTTTTTCTTTAAGAAAAAAGTCTTTCATCTATTTCAACGACATTTCCAGGCCATCCAATTTTTTTAGATGACCTGTAAATCATATTATGGACACAAACCTCTCTCAAAATCTGTTCCACTCGATCACACTTTTGTTCGATGGTTTCAGCTGCTCTTTGCTTCACTCAATTCTTGTTAAATTATGAGACCAGCCATAAATAAACTTTAAAGCCATTAAAAATGTAATTCTTGACCCCTCTAACCACATTTTTTTTCTTATAGAAATGTTTTTCCTGCGACTTTAACGAAAACATCTGCATTTGGTTTTCTTATCAGATTCCATTTGGTGACTTTCTTCATATAATTTCGTTTATTTCCACATTATTCCGAATTTCTGAAAGTATTTCAGTTTCTTCTTCCGAAAAAGGTAATTGCCAAAGTAATATTATATCCATTTTAAATATAAAATAACAAAATTAACAAAAAAAAAAAAATGAAAACAATTGAATAATGCACAAATAACAAAGCAGAGACGAGTGATAAGAAGAGCTTACACAAGATAAGAAGGAAAGATCCCTGCCGACCGACTAAATCACAAATACCCAAAATCCAATTTATCATTGTTTGTAACTCACTTAGGCCTGCCATTGACTTACCTTAAATGCTATGTTTATATTACTTGGATTCAGATTTCAAGCTGGGAGAATTGAATCTAGGACTCTCTGGCATAATACAATATTAAGAAGAAGGAATTAGTATGCAGGACTTATAATGTTTTGAAACTTATAATTCTACAATGTCTAGCTTAAAGAAATGGAAAGATCTGAAAACCATGCTCATCCACATAAATTTTCCAGATCACTTCACCGCACTCAAGTAGTATCCAAGGTATATTATTCCTGTGCCTTCTGTAAAATGTCACTTATAAGTCACCTCCTTTAGAACAAATTCCATGTACAATTTCCTGATTCAGGCAAAGGTTTTTGATTAAATTCATGAAGTGTTAACCGTATTGTCTTTTTCGATTAGCTTAAATTTCCTTCAGTAAACATAGATAACTACATACATAAATGTGGCTGTATATGAGCATTAATTAAGGCTTTTAAACTCAATAAACAACATATTACAGATTAAAATAATTTTACTTACTGTATAAGTTACACTTTTAAACTTGGGAAATTCTTTAGGTTCTCCAGGAGGTTTGTCACCTTTAGGATCTGTTATATCTAATTTCGGTTGAGCACCACTGACCACAAAAGTGACTTTTTTGATACCAGGATCCAGAGGAACAGGTACTAAGTAAGGAACATGAGCAGGCTTATTTGAAGATACCCGTTTAAGAGGAACTAAACCCTGCTGAAGAAAGTCTTCAGTAAGACTATCCAACATCTGAAAATTATTAAAATTATGAAAAATCTATAAAAACAACAATTTAACATAAATTATATAAAATTTAAAGAGAATAAATTTGCTTGTTCAATTTGGTACTTTGTGATGAAATAAGAAACTTAGTAAAGCTGCTAATCCAAACATTCACCAAATTAACAACCAAAAATGGATCTTCCACACATCAGTGCTAAATAGTCAAACTCTAGAAATTAATTGCACTGTTCAACATCAAAAAATATCAAGTAAACTTTTTCAAACAAGGTTTTGATACCACATTTTGATAAATTGGTTAATAGGTGATGACAGATTTGATTAGACTAATTCAAAGTGTCATATTTCCTGTCAGGCAATCTTATCTTAAATATTTTAAAATAAATAAAATATTACTATAGTACTAAAGAATATTTAGTATTTAAAGGAAGTTAAATTGCTAACTACTCCATAGCACTATGGAACCCCCCAACCAAACAAAAACTAAGAAGAAATTAAATATTTAGAATTAAAAAATGAAGAAAATATCGGTTCAAACATTGTAAATTTAAAAACTTTGCTGCTTTATTTGATTTTTAAAAAATATAACTGATTATATTTCATAAAAAATAAAATTATCCTATTTATTTTATACATTTTGTTTCTTCACTGCCGAAGGTATGGAAGCTTTGTACATTTTTATTATTTTATAAAAAGTAAATATTTTTTGTATTAAAATAATTTAATTACCTTCCTAAGTAATGAACTTTGTCTCACATCAGATTTATCTAGCATTATTATTTGCCCATTAGTTTGTCTCGATATATTATAATATACATCAAATCCTTTTTGATGTCTCCAGCCATAACACCTTTCTGTCATCAGGAAGAATATCTAAAATAAATAAACAAGTAGTCTGTAATGCTGACATTTAAAATAGGTTGTAAACTTATTAATTAGGTAAATGTTTCTGTAATTGATAGAATACATGGACATTCTCAATTTGTTTTAAGTCAAGAAATGCTAGAAACACTACTAACAAAATAGGGTTTTATGAATTATTGAAGGAAGTTAGTCGACTGTTCCACATATCAAGGGTGATAAATAGTCAGGACGGAGTCATTTGTAAAGGTTTTATCTGTGCCAACTTTTTAATCCAAGCAAGTGGGTCATCATCAGGGCATGTTTCAAGCACTGATAGTGTTCAAATACTCACGCCCTGACTACTTAGCATCCAAAATGGGATTTTGTATAAAATCTTAAGACCATAAAAAAACATCAACAAAATACTCCTAAGTTTCAGTTAATTGAAGAAGACAAATAAAATAATCTCATTAATAAATAAAACTAACTTTATAAAGTTATTCAATGCAAATACTACAACTGCAAAAGAATTTATTTGTATTTATACAACCTATTTATTTTCATGCGGAAATACGATTAAATTTATGAAAAAAAAAAAAAGCTTCTTCTAATTTTTATTTTTTTAATATTGACAGAACAACTATTGCAACATTTCCAAACATATAACAATTAATTTTGAACGTAATTATTTATTTTACTTATATAAAGTGAAAAATAACCAGATAGAATCATGCACTTAACTAATACCTAATCAATCAAATATTTAAATTTTTGGGAATCTGTACATGCTTTCTGTTTATAGATCAGATTGGCAAGAAATTATCCAGACTAATGGTCAGTATGGAACCGAATGGATGAAATAGGAGAAAACATATGAAATATCGAAAAACTTTCTTATGAAGAAAAAAGTGAACTTTCACCATTCCAGTATATAGTTCTTTGTTAAAAATAAAAATGGGTCTTTTTATCAACATAATGTTCACTAGGAAGTGGTTTAGAAAGATAAATTTATTTATTTATTATAATAGGCTCTACACTATTATTTTGTTCTGGTCCCTGACTCAGCTGAGAATGGTCCAGTTATGGAGTCACTATGTTGTTTATACATCAATAAATTTTATGTACTGCAGGTGCTAAGAATAATTTTTAAATATTTTTTTTTAATAGCATCAAGCCAAGGAGTTCAAGAAATTATTAAATTATAAAGTAAAGTAATTAATAATGAAACAGCTATAAGTAGAATATTATTTTTTTCCTAACGAGCATATCGCTGCTGTTAGTGCAAAGGTTGTATGTAAAAATTAATTTTTTTTACAGAAGGGCATTAAAAACCAATTATTTCTTTATGATTTATTAGTATAATTTCATATTTTATTTCTCTCTACTATTTTCTTATTTAGCAGAATACTTATAGCAGTTGCAGGCTACAACTGTAAATGTTACCTTTAGTGCAAAGAGAATAAACATGTCAAATTGTTACATAAGACCTTTTGCACTAACAGTAACGATATGTGCTATTGGATCATTAAATATAAATAACTCCAATACTCAGATTAGCAACCTAGGTTGTATTAGCATTGCAGCTAATAAAAATGAGTTTGATTCCAGAGCCATCTGAGAAATATTCTGTTGGTATTACCTAAGGTCTGAAATGATGTTCACACAGCCTTGTGAGAAGAAATGACAAAAGAAATTTTACTAGGATGGGGGCAGTGTATAATATATTAAAAAGATTCTTCTTTTTATTTGAAATAACCATTAAAAGATGAAAATAATAATTATAAAAACAAAATTCTCTTAACATCCCGATGCTCACTTACAAATGGAGATTTCCTCATAATTAATAGCTGAATGTTTTCTTCTTCATAATAATCCTTTGCATCAGCATCAGTTATAACAAAAATAAATGATTTTGGTCTAGTTACTTCTAACGTTGACTTTAAACCAGTTAATGCTAGTTCTGGACAATCTTGACCTCCATATACCCTAATTCGGTTTAATTTATCGATGAATTCATCATAATTGCTGGTACAAAATGGGGCTGCAACCTCTAAACAAAAAACAACAAAGTTCTAGCAAATTTTTAAATTAGAAACATTTTTAAACATTAATCCCAACAAAAAAATATTAAATCAGTATAACAAATTTTACAATATCTAATAACAGAAAATATGATAAATGAATAGAACTAAAATTAAAAAAATAAAGAACATAGAGTAGTTGTAATCTCTTTCAAGAGATTTCGAAGCAAGAATGGTAGATAGACGGAAAAAAGAGACAGATAAATATTGATAAACTGGCATAAATGAGATCATAAATTAAGGATATGATTTCAAATAAAAGTTATAATCTAACTATTTAGCAGAGAGAAGTAAAATATGTTTCTTCTGTTCATTATTCCTAAAATTGGTTTCTTGAGGTTTTATTTTTTACATAAATTAGGCCACTATTCACCAACATTTTATTTATTAGCTATTAATTACGACGTTTCGACCATACTAAGGGACATTTTTCAAGTCTTAATGAGTCCTCCATTAGATATTCATTATTAATGTCGCATCAATTTGTTCAGTGAAAAATCAACTTGTCCTGCAATTTAAGTTTCCCGGACGCCATTTCTGGAGGGACTAAATAATGAATATCTAATGGAGGACTCATCAAGACTTGAAAATGGCCCCTAGTATGGTCGAAACGTCGTAATTAATAGCAAATAAATAAAATGTTTGTGAATGATAGCCTAATTTATGTAAAAAATAAAAAGTAAAATATGTTTTCCAATGCTGTAATAGTTTGTAGTAATAATTTTTCATTTATTTCAGAAATCAGATGTTTAATGGAATTAGAAAAGTCATCATATTTCTAATGATATTCAGAAAATATGATTTGAGTACCATGAAATTTGTATACAAGAATCATTTAATTTTATGATATTTTAGTATAAAATACTTTATTTGAAATATTAAGTATTTTGTTTTCTAAGGCTGGATATTAGTGTCAAGAATTTTTCTCTTTAAAAAAATGAATATTCAGTTTTCAAATGTTTCAAGTTAAATCATAAGAAAAAAGGTAGAGGTGATATTTAGCCTAACAGTAGAGATGATCCTGAGTGGGCTTTCATGAATGTAAATTAATATTCAAAGTTAATCAGACAAGTCTAATGATTAGGTAAGCAAGTTGGAAAAGTTTCTTAAAGAACTACCTTTATCCTAACTTAAACCTACTTGGGTCAAATGACTAGTAAAATACTTTTAGTCACTAGATAATAAAATGTTAAACTGTGAAGTTGTAAAGTTTGAAGGGTAAAATATTACGATGAATATTAATTGGAATTTATTTTCTGGTAATGTTAGTGAACCCATTAATGTAACAGAAAAGTAGTTATGAAACATCATTGAACCTAATACCAATAAAACACATGGGTGGGTTAATATGAAAATAGATACCATTCATTTCTTTAAACTACTAATCAATTTAAAGCAATTAAAATGAATTAAATAAAAAATATATTACCAGGGTCATTGAATGTCACAAGAATATAATCTTTGATTAAATTTCTTTTTTTTTCTGTAAGCTCTTTGGTGATAGTTTTGGCAGTTTCACGCATCTGTTCAAGTTCTGGACTCATTGATCCAGTGTTGTCGAAAACAAATGCTAAACTGGAACCTTCATCTTCATATACACCATCAAAGTTGCATTTATTTGTCACAGACCTCTTATATCTGTTTTTGGTCTGTATCTGGTTTTTGGATTTTAAATCATTTTCTACTCTTACAGAAAATATTGTTTGGAAATTTCCAGGATTAGGAGGCTGTTTCAAAAATAATAAATTTTGCATACTTCCAATGTGCTGTATTGGAATAATAGAATGTCTCACAATGTCCTGCATTTGATTATTATAAACTAATACTTGTCTATCAGGAGTGTTGATAGATGCTCTCATATTTGGTGAAACTCTTAAATTATTATTCCCAGTATTCGAAACATGGCCAGAAATGGTATATTTCATTTCATTTAGTGGAGTCAAAGTTTTATTAATTATTGGAGTTTGGTATTCAAGAACTACTTTTCTCATAATGGGATCCTTCTGTTGGCGATTATGAGTATCTTTGTTAAGGAAATGCATGAAATTTGTTCTGATAGTGCTATTTAAATTAATACAACGTAAAATTGGTTTTCTACTATCCTTCTTATACATCTCAAAACATAGTAGTTCTGGGATGGATTGTTGTGGCTTAAATCTTGCAGGGGAAATTTCATGCTTCATTTCATCATCATATTTTTTTGAGGAAAATTCAGTTTGATCAAGATTATTTTTATCTTTATGAGAAGTATTTATACTTGGAATAATTTGAATAACGGGATGAGTCATTGTTTTTTTGTTATAAGAAAACTGTTTGTCTTTACTTTTAGGTTTGATATCTGGAACAGTGTCATCACTATCAATTACAAATTTACGATTTTTGTCTAACATGGGTTTTTTCATGGTTGTTGGAGAAGAAAAATTTGGCACAAAGGTTTCGGGAGGGTGAGTTCCCAGTTTACCCATGTTTATTTTATTTTTTGGAGATCCATTAATAAACGGATGTATTTCCAAATTCTTTTGCCCTGAAGGTGAGACTATACTTTGCCGAGAGTCTAGACAATCCTTTTTCATTTGAGGATTAACCTTTATTTCATGCCATTTGTAAGAAGGAATTTGGATATGAGGTCGTTTTTGTCCTTTATGATCTGGTAGTAATGGCGGTAAATCAATTTTTGTGGGTGTCAAGGTTGCTTCATCAATCATAAAAATCCGTGATCTGTCCAAGTTACTTCTACTAGAGGAATGTTTAGATGTACTATATGGTTGTTCAGTAGTTAATCCTATGTTATCATTTGTTTCTAGAATCGTAGGCTTCTTTGATACAAGTTCAGGGTGCTGAGTTGGAACAAATAATTCCACTTTATTTTCAGGAATGAAATGAACTTTTCTTCCTGGTTGTAAAGCTACTTTATGTCGTGGAAGTGCAGTAGTTTTTAACTGTGGATAAAATTTTGTTTTGTTTAACAACGCTTCTGTAGTTTTCTCAATCTGGGGAACAGATGCAGTGGGAGAATTCCCTCTTAAATTTAATTGTGGAATAATGGAATCTTCCATTGAAATAAATATTTTTTTGGAGGGATCAAGTGAGATTTTCTTTCTTGTAGACTTGTTTTTGTCAATTTTAGAGCTTGAAGTGGGAACAGTCATTTTAGTTTTGGCAGTTGTGGCTTTGGCAAACGTACTAAAAACCTCAGTAATTGTCGAAGCTGTTGTAGACACTTTTTCTGTTGTGACTTTATATTTAAACGGTTCTGTAGAACCAACAAAATCTTTACCAACATTACTAGCCACTGCTTTTGGAGTTTTGGTCTGAGAATGATTTATATTTCCTTCTTTTTTTGTCACATCATTTATCTTAATAGTTGTTAAAGGTGTTGAAACAATGTGAAAGTTATCAGATGTTTTAATTCTCACATACTCAGTAGTAGAACTAATGGCTGTGGGTTCAGTAACTGAATTTTCCTCTACTTTACTACCTTTTTCATTAATAGGAGTGGTTATTGGTGTGCTTACCATAAATGGTAAAGTGGAAGTAAATGTGCTTCTTTCAGTCTTCAGTGGTTTTAATGTAGGAACTGTGGTCATTACATATCTATGATCTCTATTTGACGAAGCAGCAGATACTTCAGTTACTGGTGTTTTCAACTCATCAGGTACTATACCAGATGCACTGACATGCTCTGAGGTTGTCTCACTTATATCAATATGATCTGTAGTTGAAGGTGTGGTGACGGTAGTAGTGCTGCTTAATTTGTCAGATAAATTGTTAATAACGGTTGGCATGCCAGCAGGTTCTGCAGATTCTTTTCTTAATGGTTTGGTGACTGTACTTCGAATATCAGACTCCTTAATTGGTTTCACTGTAGTGGATACAGTGGACAAAGATGAATCATTTATAGTAGATAGCAAAATAACAGTTGGTTCACTAATTACACTTGGTTCAGTAATCACTGTAGATATAGTTAATATGCTACTTGATGTTTCATTTATATTTGTTGAGACAACAGTGGGTGGTGTAGCTAAAATTGTACCAGTTACTTTACTAAGTGATTTTGTAATGGTACTTTCACTACTTACATTCACTTTTGTGGATTTTACAGTAGTAGGAAAGGTTGGCCTGGATGTTATCTTATCAGGAGTAATTGATGATGGAGAAACAGTTGATTCACTAATCACAGTTGTATCAGTAATCACTGTAGGCATTGTTGTTAGTACACTACTTAATGATTCAGATACACTTGGTGAGTTAAGAGTGGGTGGAGTAGTTGAAATTTCTTCAGTTACTTTACTAAATGGTTTTGTAACAGTCCTTTCACTACTAACAGTTACTTTTGTGGATTTTACAGTAGTAGGAAAGGTTGATTGGGATAGTATCTTATCAGTGGTAATTGATGTTGGAGAAGCATTTGATTCACTAGTAACACTTTTATCTGTTGTCACTTTAGGTGTAGTCATCAGTGTACTGCTTAATTTCTCGGATGGGTTGCTTGAGCTAACAGTGGGTGGTGTAGCTGAAATTTCATCAGTTACTTTACTAAATGGTTTTGTGACAGTACTTTCACTACTAACAGTTACTTTTGTGGATTTTACAGTAGTAGGAAAGGTTGGTTGGGATAGTATCTTATCAGTGGTAATCGGTGTCGGAGAAGCATTTGATTCACTAGTAACACTTTTATCTGTTGTCGCTTTAGGTGTAGTCGTCAGTGTACTGCTTAATTTTTCGGATGGGTTGCTTGAGCTAACAGTGGGTGGTGCAGCTGAAATTTCATCAGGTATTTTACTAAATGGTTTTGTGACAGTGCTTTCACTACTAACAGTTACTTTTGTGGATTTTACAGAGGTAGGAAAGGTTGGCTGAGATGTTATTGAAACAGTAGTAATAGATTTTGGAGAAGCAGTAAACTCACTAATTATACTTGTATCAGTAGTTACTGTAGGAGGAGTTAAAACACTACTTAATGTTTCAGATACATTTGTTGAATTAACAGTGGGTGATTTGGCAAACAAATCATCACTCTCTTCATTGAAAGGTGTGGTGGTTACATTTGAAATTGTTATAGATGACATATCAGAGGAGGTAGAAGATGTAGAAGGACTAATTTCTATTGAAGTAAAAGTATTTTTTTCATATTCACTTGTTTCTCTAGATTCTTCAGATACCGTTACAGGCTCTGATGTTAATGAATCTGTAATATTGATTGATATGATTGTAGTTGTTTCAACTTCAGTTCTATAAGATTCACTAGACAAAGTATTTGCATTAGTTGTAGAACTGCCACTTAATACATCAGATACATTATTTGAAGGTATGTTTAAAGAGGTAGTACTACTATAATTAGGAAATAACTTATCTGGATCAGCTGAAGAGCTAGTAATTTGCTCAAGGCTTCCATTTTGTGCAGTAGTTTTTGGACTGATTGTTACATCACTAGTTACTATATTAGATTCCTTTTTAGTGAATCCTACAGTAGTTCCAGTTACTGGATTAGTTAAAATCGTAAGTGGTGTAGCTACAGAATCTAGATTACTTGATATTGTTGTGGTTGTTATTTCCACAAGGCTAACCGGTACTTCTGGTTCTGAGCTAGCTTCAGTGATAGTTGATTCATCCGGAAGTAAAGTACTAACGGACGTTGATGGAATTAACGTTGATCCAATTGAAGAATTAGATGAAACATTTTCTGGTGGAATGATTGCGCTTGACGGATAAATTTTTGGTGGTGTACTGTAATTTGGTTTAACTATTTCTGTTACATTTATGTCTTTGGTAGTAGAAGTATCGGGTTTGGTTTCTGTCATATCTTTCTCTATTGTCGAATTCTCTAACTTATCCAACGGTGTAGAGTTTTCAACTTCAATTTTATCTTTTGATGGTTTATTTTCTGTAGTTATATCACTGTATGTAGCAGCAGAAGTGGTCGTTTCAGCTTCATTTTGAAAATCCACTGAGGCTGAATTGATTACTCCTGTTTCTGTTGAGTTTTCGATTTCCGTAATGTCAACCGAGTTCGGTTCCGTCACATCTGCGGTATTAAGTTCGTCAACGAGAGTGTATTCTTCGTAATCTGTAAAAACTCCGAATGGATCTTGATCAGAACCATTTCTACTAATTTGTTTCAATAAATTCCATAATTGGTCATCATTCATTTTTTCTCCTCCTGACAATAGAACATCTTGTTCATCTTCTGGAAGTCCTTCCGTATCACCAGAAACTGATTCACAATAAATACAAACTAGACATATAATTAATCTTAAAATCAGAAAATATGCCATGGAAAAGGAAACCCATAAAGTATCCTACTTAATAAAAACAAAACAACTAACGCACTAGTTCCAAGTACGAAAGATGACTGACTCTATAATCATCTTCCTCAAATAGTCTCTATCAGTTTCACTTTGACCTCTTGATAAATTGAATCACACTTGTATAGAAAAATTATTGATTACTTGCGTTTGAGGCATATTTAACAAACAATATAAATATTAAAAGTAAATGTGTATTAAAATATTAATGTTTACATGAGTGATGTCAATACAAAGTATTTGTTAAAAAACAAAACTTTATATCTCGACCCGATACGATTTATGAATGTTAATTACGGAAAGCTTTTTTACTTCATAAGGTAATAAGGAATTAAGGCTTAATGTTAAAATATATATATATATATATATATATATATATATATATATATATATATATATATATATATATATATTATATATATATATATATATATATATATATATTAGGAATTTTATCTGTATACATTGTATACACAAACTTGAATCATAGTAATAAATAAAAATAAATTTGTAGAAAACACCACTGGTTAAAAGTATTTCATTTTTTAATAATTTTAAAAGGTTTATAAAGCCAGTAAATAAAGTGATTAAATTGGCATCATCTATTTTGGTACTTTTATTCATCGAATATTATTAATTTATTATTTTTGGTTGACTTTTCCGAGAAAAAAAAAACATAGCAGTTATAAACAATGACGTTTCTTGAATTTATTTGCAGGATAGATGTTTTTGAAAATCTTATCATATTTTTTAAATTTAAAACATTGACAATGAATCATTTTGAATCCAAACTAAAAATAACAAACATGGACACAGTTCAGAAAGCACATATATTGCACTGACCAGGTCGGCGATCGTCTAGGGCTCAAAATTATTGTATTATTTTTTCTAGTACCACGAAATGTTTGGTCCCAAAATAATTGTTTTGTATTCATTTATTTCAGCAAAATTTTGGGATAGATGTTTTATACTTTTTTATAGCCGTATGAGTGGGGCTCCTTCTTAGGTTCCTCAATATCGTTATTTTGTATTTATCTAGTATCGTGGTATATTTGGTCCCAAAAATAAGAGTTATGTATTCATTTATTTCGCAAATTTTTGGGAACCCCCAACAGTTTTATACATTTTTATCGCCGTAGAATGATTGCGAGGCCCAAGATAAGTTAACACTATTACTGATGATGGACATAGCTTCTTAAAATTATCAATTTTCTAACATTAATTTAAAAACACTGACATTTTCATACCTTATAAAAATTCTAAGAATTGGTTGTGATAACTACGAAATTCTAACATTTTATCGGGGAATCTCTAATTTGAATAGAATTCTATTTGATGATGAATGTACTGTCAAGTTTAGATAAAATGAATTGTATTATATTAATTTAACTAAAAACATGTTCGTACTACCAATAATAAAAAATAAAATAAAGATGAGCTGTAGTTATGTTAAAATATAATCATGTCTTACGGAACAATTATCTAATATAATATAATATAATCACTCTAAATTGAGTGATTTATTCTTTCGCTCTTTTCACATTTATTAATTGTGTAAATTATTTTCTTCATATTATAATAATGAGTTATATTATATTTTACATTAGAAAACATCATTAAGTCAATAAAATATTGTGAAAAGCTCCCGTAAGTAATTATGAGATGTTAATTAGGTTATCATTCATTGCCTAACATAAAATACTCTTGTGTAATTTGGAAAATTATTTTATCAATCGTAATCGTTGATTGTGATGATTATCATCTAACTTGTAAGTAGTTAACTAATTACCTGAGATAGTAAGTAAACTTATAAATTTATTTTACTAATTTTCAATGAATACACTTTGTGGAAAATGTTAAATAAATTAATTGTTTGATTAAAAGGGATCCGGTCAGCTGCCTTAGCTAAGATAGTATTAGGATGCATGGTAGTAGCAGGAGCTAAAGAGCCTATGTAGCCTGTTAGTAGAGCTCCTACAACTTCCTATTCTCCTTTTAGTAATTCACAAATTACTGCCTGAATGACATCTGGATGGAATGTAAAATGGCGTTGAATGCAATAAGGAAAATTAAGGAATGAAGGAAGGAATTTCTTGATTTTATTTATAAATTATTGGACACTTATTTAATTTAAACTATGTATGGAACCTAGCGCGGATTACTGCTTAGGAGGAGGGTCACACGAGTGGCAAACTTGGGAATGGTCGATTGAAAATCCACGTAAGTTCCTCCCTACTAAATCCTATGGACTTGCTGATCAATAATGAGAGGGGTCCTCCAGACTTGCTGGAGAGAGTGACGTAGGATAGCCCTGGAGCCAGGGCCCAAAAATCTACCTCATCGCAGGCGAAGGTTTGACTGTAAATTACGAAATATGTTATGCTGAGTAAAAAGAACTTGGTCAGCCGTTCCAGAGCCGCTGCTTTAAAAAATTGAGGCTGATTTAAAGAATATTAGGCCAGTAATTTGAGGATTGAAACGGGAAATCCCGAAAATGTTAAAAGAAAATGTTAGAAAAGTGTTTATTTTTTTTACTTTTATATATGGGCTTATACTTGTAAAAAACAAAATTGCTGACGCAGGCCACCAAGATAAAACTTTTTACAGCCAAAAAGTCAGATTTTTTTTTGTATTTTCGCCTAAAATTCCTAAATGATGAATCAAAGCGAAAAATGTATTCTTTAATAAATTAAAGAACGTTGAATTGTGTATCGAACGAGTACATAAAAATTATAATTTGGCTACTTGGTAAGGTATAAAACCACGGTCAACCAAAGCTTATTTTTACCACATTTGTCAAAAATTGAGACAAATTATTATAAATGGCTCTGTAACATGGAAATGAGTTCCCTAAGAGGAAAAACCTATAGAATCAAAGTTATAGAGCATCAAATTTTGTGTCCACTGAGTACTGACATTTTTATTGTAGGCCAATTATACATCTCGAATCGGGATTCGTTATTCCTTTATGAAATTCGGGATCTTTCGACACATCATTTATCAAAATCCTTCGCTGTTGAGAGGTGGAAAAGAGGCTTATATTGCACGTAACAGACTCTGAACAAAAATAACTCATCAGAATAGACACCCATACTGTTGAAATATTGAAAATAACGTTTATCTGCATTACTAATTTCTAACCATCGAGAGATTACCGATTTTGTCCCGAGTAAGAGACCTAAATTATATTAAGTGGTATTCACTGGACGCGAAATTCGATGCTCTACAAATTTTATTTGTGGGGTTTTCCTCTTGAGTAACTCATTTCCAAGTTGCAGAGCCATTTATAGTTTTTGACGAATTTGGTAAAAATCAGTGTTGGTTGACCGCGATTACATACCTTACGACGTAAACAAATTATAAAGTTTATGTACTCGTTCGACGCACAATTTAACGTTATCTAATTTATTAAGGAATACATTTTTCACTTTGGTACATCGTTTAGGAGTTGTAGGGGAAAAACCAAAAAAATATCGAAAAAATCTTACTTTTTTGGCTGTAAAAAGTGTTCCCTTGGTGGCCCGCGTAAGCAACTTTGTTTTTTACATGTACAAATCCATTTATAGAAGATAAAAAATATAAACTTTTAACAACCTTTTCCGCTGTGGATTTCCCATTTCGATCCTCAAATTTCTGGCCTAATATTCTTTAAATCAGCCGCCATTTTTTAAAGCAGCGGCTCTGGAACGATATACGACATTCTTTTTACTCAGAATAACATACACTTTCGTGATTTACAATCAAACCTTCACTCGCGATGAGGTCGATTTTTGGGCTCTGGCTCCATTCATTGAATGCCCTATTCACATATCAAAAGTTCGGAAAATACTAGTTATGGATCTTAAATAAATTTCGCCATCTCTAAAAACACGGCAGTTAAAAGTACTATATTCAAAGATAAGGATATTCCCAAATATACTTGAACATCACTGGATTCACAAACACGAAATAAAATCGATCACGTCTTGATACAATATAAGTGGCAAAATAGCATAATTCATATGTAATGTCTTATTGCGGGGCTGATTGTGGGTAAGGCCATGAATTAGTAATCGCCAAACGTTGACAAAATGTAAATATAAAAATTTTGGTGCGCGCAACTCACAACTTTCACTTACCGCTCTATTTTGAATAGACATTATTTTCTGGCAATGTAGAGCTATTATACAATTTATGAAGTGCATTTTTAAAGGAGCTACAGCTGAAAGCTTACAGTTAACAAAACATTAAAACCATCAAAATAACAAAAACCCTTTTAATTAAATCAACGGTATGCAATAAAAATCTCGTAACTCTATCTATTTTTGTAAACTCCAGTCTCTGAGCTATATGCGCCTAGAGGGATTTGAAAGCAAATCTTTATATTTAACCTATAGATTAGTTCGAATTGCACGACTATTAGTTATTAAACTGTTATTACTTTCACTTACCTATATTTTTTTCATTGCAATGTTTACTAAAATGAAATTAAGAGATTTTCATTACCTGTCATAGATAGTTCAAAAGTTATCACGCTGATTAAAAGTGGATAATGTTAGGATTTCACAAAGAGAAAATTCATAAAATCATTCACTTTTTTTTTGCTATAAAGAATATATTTGCGGCAGTCAACTTTTTGTTAACAATCAGCAAATGTGATCGAAGTACAAGACATAAATGACATGTCAGGCATTTGGAAGAAAATTACTCAGCAGCATTTCTTCCCTGACTTGTTTCAATTACTTACGTTGTTTAAGGAAGGAGATCTCTCATCCAACGCCTTTTTAGTCTACTCCTCATGTTATATGGTATGTCAGCTGTGCTGTGCTGCGAAATTAAATTATTCACTAATTTAATTTTCTAAAAGGTTACATGACGATTTTTCGGAATAAACGGACGTTCATACTTAATTATTTAAATATAATATTGGATCTAGTGTTATTAAACTACAGTAAATGTATTTAAGGTTATAAACATATGTTTTATACATCCATGAAATATTTTTATATTTCCCTTCTTCTTTTATACAATTACAATAAAATAGTTTTTAAACAAT